AAGAAATGTGGTGTCAGTTAATGCAAATAACTATACTTTCACTGAACATTCATATGAAAATCGGAGTATTTGTAAAGTGTAATTTGCTACATGACCGTATGTATGTGTATTTCTAATGGGGTGTGACAATTATTGATAATTCAGTAAGCATTAAGGGAAAGTATATGCTTGAATCGATCGTTTATTATATAGTTATCATTCGCTATTAGATCTATGTGTATAAAAACTGTCCGTTTTATAAAATGAATAAACGTAGTACTTAATATTATACAACTATTGCCTCAATAAAAAGACAATATTTCATTTAAACTATTTTTCATATAAACTATTTCATATAAACTATTTGAAGACATTTTTTAGCATATTATATAGTTAAAAACCTTCAAAAAACACACACAAGGTTTTACGATACTAGATATCCACTAAAACTTGTTATCGAAGAAAGTCTGAACGACGTGGCAAAAATATTTTACGCTCAATTTTTTCAAGAAACGTTAATAACTAGTGAATGATTTTCAAAAAGTTAATTTTTCTATTTTGTTTAACATCAAGATGTAAATCTAAAATCATTTTTTAGTGTCATAAATTTCTTTCTTTACTCATTGATGACGCAAGAACACCAAGAAGTTTTTTACATTAAATCTTATAACTAAAAGATTCAATGGGAGCTAAATAAGTAACGACAGCTACAGTTCGTTGCCTCTTCGCATGCTATCATAGAGGCAACATAGAGCACAAAAAAGTTTTACCCTCTTGCAAGTCGACGTGGACATTAGTCACCGTAGTTAAAGCAAAAAAAGTAAGAGTGAGAAAGAAAAAAAGTCGTATTGTCGTGCATAAAAGTATTATGCGTGTCTCGAGAACACATTATAATTGTGTGCGAGCAGCGCGAGCTTTATGAGAATCCATGGGAAACAAACTGTTACTCTACTGGCTGTCGAGTGTAGAGTTACGCTCATTGGGCGAATATTAAATTCGATACTTGACTGGGCTTCCCAATATAAATATTCTGATTGATTCCAGTAGAGGCTGGCAGTTTTATCACATATTATCTTAATGAAAATTAGTGTCATAAATTGCCCATATAATTTAATAATTATTTCCTGCAAACGACGTCGTATTTATAGTTGCGCGCTTCTTTTCTCAGTAAAGCACAAACAGTGAGCGACGTATTTTTAATGTTAAATTCCAAAATTACTCGCGCAAGCGGCATAAACGGAAATCAGTGGAATCGAGGTGGTGTGTGGTCGATTCCATATGAATGTATACATTTAAAAAAAAATTAAAACCCTACGAAGTGGAGAGCTCTCGATACTTGATCTAAAACTCATGGGACGCAAAACAATGGACAGGATCAAATCTGGAGCCCAGACATTTCGTTATGCGTTGCACTGGATGTGAAATGATCATATAGCAGCTACGGTACATTTTATTCCTCTCAAAAATTCAGGGCTTTATTGAACACTCGGCGATCGCACGAAGGGACGCGGTGACGCGCACGCTAAGCGTATAATGTATTTACAATACCAACATGTAAAACACTCTATTAAGGCACGGATAATGCTCTGCGATACTGCGCAGGAAAACGATATGTAATTTATGCACAGGCACACGCTCGCATGGCAATAATCGAAAAGGGTCAGATTCGCGTGACGCACAGATCTTGCCATACTAGCGAGTAGCTGCGAGATGCGTCGTTGTTTATGTTTTATATATTTTGATCGACGTGTTTTTATCTCTCCTCCGATAAGAGTGCGCGCGGGATTGCCATCCGATTATTTGCACGAGTGTATATAATACGTCCTGTGTTCGTTCGTTGCGGAGATCAAAATATTAACTGGCAAAAAATAAGCTCGATTGTGTGTGCTTTCGAATTTAACGATTCTATAGCGTATATGCATACGATATAACGTACGCTACACGTATCGACGCGGCAAGTACAAAGATACGAGTGACGATTTGCACGCATGCGGCGGCCTTTGTCATTACTCCCAATGGACTAATTTACTTTTTATTTATTATTCATTCTCACGTACTACTTTTCTAAACAATCGAAAATATCATACGGATATTGGGGCAATTGGTTCATTAAGAAATAACAAAGAAAGCCCGGCTGCACTCTAGTTTCGAAGCTTATTTTAATTTTGAACGTTTATAAAAAATGTAATTTTATTTAGATGATGTCATTATGAGGAAATTGCTCCTCGATGTTGAATCATTCATGCACATATATACTGATACAAATACTACCACCAATGTCACCACATTCTCATCTGAACATCTCGGCTATACGTTGCATACGTTTTACGCTATCACATAAACACACATCGACCGCTATACGTGTGAATCTGTGCGAACGAGACTTTCCGAAAATAAACATCAAACGCTGCCGGTCCTGGAAATAGACTTTTAAAACGCAGACTTTAATATGTATCAATATAGTATCGAATTCCGCGTGTGAACTGCATCGGAAGAACGACTGAGGAGGTGGATATGTTGTTTACGTTTTCAGAGAACGTAGTCTTGGCTATTCAAGAAAAAAATATTATAGCGCAGTTTGGCGTATTTGTTTACGACTTTGATTCCTTTACTTTCCACCCATGAAATAAGTCACGTTGATATAATAAGCTCTCGAGGATTTCTTGTTAAACTGAAATCGATGCAATGACGATGAAAATTTCGCACGTTCACCATTTCAAATTTTAGACCATTTATAATGTACATGTGTGTCTGTAGAGTAGACGAATCGTAACATTGTATCCGGAAACAGCTACATTTTCAAGGATAATTTGCACAGCGATATGTGCATGTGAGAGTGTGCAAACGCGATCTTTTTCCGGATTTCCTAAGAGCGCGAGCTGACTGATAGTAGGAGAGCAAGTTTTTTGCTTATTCTTGATAAACACGATACAATCTTTTGAAAATTGAGACTTTTTTGTCGCTTAAACGAATACATATTTCTTTAATATTAATCCACGACTCATTAGCATATAAGTTTATTAAATTGTAAAATATTTCATATTATTTGTCTTCGAGTTCGATAATCAGTAAAAAATGTAACGATCATTGATGGTTCGACGCTATTATGAATGACGCATAAAATGCGTGTAATTCACTCACCTCAAGCAATCCTCCTTTAGATGAATGACAATTAGTTAAAATTGATCGTGAAATAGCTCGGGCGTTTATTGTAATATCCTTTCATGCACTTTTTTCAATCCAATTTGAAATAAAATCAAATCCTTTTTTAAAACAATGAATTTCTTTTCGGTCCATCTTATTCGCACTGAATGTACTGCTTATTAATTTTATTAAATTGTACATTGTTATTCCACACGTTTTTCGTCAAAGTTCTAACTTGAGGAGTTTAGATGATATGGTCTATTTTTCAAGCAAAATAGCGATTTTCTACGTCACACTTTAACAAAGTTTAAATTCTCCGTTCGTGCAAGTCGTGACCGAAACGCATCATCACTCGTACGTTCAAAGATAAAGAGAGAATGGGAGTTTGTAGTTTAGTAAACTCGAAAAAAATAAAATCGGTGACACTGGTATTTTTATGTTAATCACTCAAAATATTTATCACTGATCGAAAAAAATTATCGTTCAACGATACGAATCAATTTTTTTTCAAATTCACATTTCGTAACTTCGCGATAACGTCGATAAAATTCACAATGTAACACAATAACAGTTCGAAATTATGTCTACTCGTTACAATAGCATTCTATAAATGAAAACCTCTCGGCAAAATGAGAATCAAGCGAAATGTTATTTAGCGCGTGCCACTCTGACTGGTTCTGATTGACGAATGCGCCGGGCGTCCCTCTTTTACTTGCGCCACAACTGTTACTTCGAAGCGTGTGACATTGGCACTACTGCTTTGCGGCACTTTCAAACGTGTGTTCGATTCGATTAATGGCCAATTTTACGATTTATAGTAAATTTTCAGGATTTTATCAATTAAAGCAGAAAAAGTTAATATTAAACTACCACGAATTCAGTAAATAAACGAATCATTAGTATTTTTACTTTTTTTAAAATCATCTTCACATAAATAATCATAAATAGTCGATGAGAATCCTTCCTAAACTAAATTTTTCATTTCACATTGAAATGTCAAGAAGGTGAAAAAATTAAATCGAAATTATTCCCCTGCGCGACAGGATATTGTCGATACGTGATACCTGCAGCTGTGAATGCATGGGGTGACAAACCTATCATATTTTAAAAATATTCGTTTCATGCATATTTTCTGTAGAGAATCTCAAGTTGTATATATGAGTACGCGTCGAGATAATAATTTTATCGTAAGCATAAAATTATGCGCGAGAATTGAAACTTCCCTTATCTCCACACGGCTGATTCTGTAATGACATATACTTAATTTTATTAAAATTTAGGGTGTTTTATTTGACTGCGCTTTAAAATAATTTACAAACATGAGTGATATCAACTATGGAAAAAATTATTTTTCAAAATTTATTAAATTAAACATTATTGACAATGGCTTTCCAATTAAGCTTGTATGAGAAAATATATCGGTATACTTGATGATAAAGTTGCAAAGTGCGTTGACATGTGCGCACGATCGATATTAGCCTGCGGACCCTCTTGTTTCGCCGTGCATACGACTATATCGAACAAACTTTTGGATGTGTTACGCTCCCGAGCCTAAATGACGCTGTGCCGGACGCAAAAAACGTTGAATCGTACACGCAGATTATCGAGACTCTCGTAAAAGGAAAATTTCTCGTTTCTTACTTTAACAGAATTACCATTCGTTTTGACGCTTCGGTTGATGAACAGGTTAACGGCAATACACAAGATCCTGTATACATCGTCGTCGTCCCTTACAGGTTAAAAATCTTTAAGTAATAACCCATTAGTTACTCGTTTGATTTTTTGTTTCTTGTAAAATGTTGGCTTGATCGAACTGCACTTTCAGATATAAATCGAGTAAATTATTTGACCGTTTCGCGCAGCAACAGTCGACGACGATGTCCGTGAAATCGGCTGGACCGGTACGCCACTGCAATCCAAGATCGTCCGGGGCTAGTAGCTCTTCCGCCAACGCGGCCAATCGATCGAAATTTCCTGCCGGCAATTACAGCATACACACGCCCAAGCAGTGCCAGCAGGTTCTTAACAAGAGGCCGATACATCTCAAGCGTTGCGCCTATGATGGCAAAGAGGTGAGCGAGCCGAAGCGAGATCCTGCGTCGAAAGACGTGCACGATTTCGCCTTTTCTTTTTCATCTCTCAATAAGCTGTTTTCGCCTAGATACTACAAGTATTTGAAAAGAATCGCTATCGACACTTGTTGGTGCCGTCGAAGGAGCCGACGATCTATCCGAAAATCATCAGTAACACAGAATTCTTGAACATCCTCGAGCGATGCCGCATACCGAGCAAGGAAGAAAAGGAGGCCTCCTACGCCAATGCCGAGAGGATGCGAGAGCGTCTTTTACGGTAAACTATGTTTTTGCTTCATACACGAGCAACGCGTCGAGTCGATTTCAAGAGAAAAAAAAGGAAAATAAAAATGTGAAACGTCGTTGCAGGGAAAGCATGGCGCGCAAAGAGTCGGTACGGCGCATGGACTTGAAGCGGAATCGCGATAAGCAGCAGGGCCAATTGAGCGACATCGAGGAGGAGACACGACGGCGCACCATGGCCCTCCTCGAGCAGGCGGAGAAGCTCAAGATCGAGCAAGAGGAGGAGATGAAGCTCTGCAACAAGCTCATACTCGAGACCAAGTGCCGGGCGGTGCGCGACGCCCAGGTAGCCGAGAAGGAAAAACTCAGGCGCGAGTACGAGGCCGCGGAGAAGCGCCTCAACGACCTCATGGAGCGCCAGAGGCTCGAGGCCCTCCGCCAGGAGGACGACAAGTCCAAGCTGCGCGCCGAGCAGTCGGCCGACTTCGCCAAGGTGCTGCACGAGCAGATCCGGCGCAACGAGGAGGAGCGCATGCTCGAGTACGAGCGTAAGCGCGAGGAGAGCCGCCTGGCCAACCTCAACGCGCTGGCCCAGCAGGAGCTCGAGCTCGAGCGGGCTCGCCAGAAGGAGGCCGAGATCGAGCGCGCCCGCAAACAGCTCATCGAGGCCAACGAGCAGCTCAAGCACTTCAAGAGCATGGAGAAGGAGGAGGAGCGAGTCATGGATCGGAGGATACGCGAATTCCTCAAGGCCCGCGACGACAGGGAGACGAGGCTCCAGCAGGAGGCCAGGGAGGAGTTCGAGCGACGCGAGAGGGAAAAGAGCCGACTGGCCGATCAAGCCCTCCAAGCCAAGGAGCTGCAGGCCCAGATCGAGGAGCTCAACGCAACGCGCATCCAGGAGGAGGTCGAGCGCGAGTGGAGAAGGAAGGAGAAGGAGGAGGCCATCAAGAAGGCCGACAGTCAAAAAAAACTCAAGATCGCCCGGGACGATCAGTTGCAGTGGAAGATCAAGATACAGGCCATGGAGATCGAACGCGAGAAGCGCGAGTACGAGAGCATACTGGCATTGCAGAAGGAGGCTCTGTGCCGAGAACAGAAAATCCAAGAGATGAAGAAGAGGCAAGCTATGGTGCATCGTAGTGAGATACTCAAACAGGTACATTCAAATCAACACAAGTCAATACGTATTTTACGATACAAAAAAATTTATTCACCTTTATTTCACATGTTTTTTGTTGTTCGCCCAAAGTAATGCATTCATATAGAAAATTTTACATAAAATAACAATTCAAATAACATTTCGAGTATTGCATAATTTGTTCCACAGGTGAACGAGAAAGAAAAAGAACGCATTATGTCGAGGCAGAAGATGTTCGAGGAAGGACTGGCCATCAGAACGGAAATCGATCAGCGCAAAAAGCGTTTACGTGAGGCCATGGAGCGCAAGTGCCAAGAGATGCGCGAGAACAGCGTGCCCGACATTTATGTCAACGAGGTGCAACGCATGATAGATAATATTGACAACAACAAATAAATAAAGTTTCTTTCACTCTTCTTCTGAGATTATTATTTCCATAGCATAACGACGCTTGGGTCGCGCTCAACGATATCCTCGATTTGGGCTGATGATTGACCAGTGGTACAGCAAATCTCATCAAGACTGTAGGAACCGGTGAAATATTTGTACAGAGGATTATTTCGCCCTTCCTCGCTATGATTGTCTGGTAGTAAAATAGGGTACTGCAACGGGATTTCAAAGTAAATATTTTACAATTTCAGGTGATCATCAATTGAAAATACCATAAGCTTACTTTATGAACCCTCCTGATGAGTCCTTCAATTAGGCCAAATTGAATGAGTTTCCTTTCATTAATTCTTAATGTTTGTGGGTTCAGTCTTTGACATAAATCTCTTATGCTATTACCATGAGTCATACTAGCATACATCCTGTAGATATCTCTTAAAAATGCTGGTTGTCTTGCTGAAAATTATAATGCAAAATTTTATTGAACATCACATGATAATTTTTCTTATTTATAAACTTCATTAATTCATACATGATTTGGAAGTATATTCTATGCATTGAGCTTGTAATTCTATATTTTTGGCAAGTTCTTTCAGTTTTGGAGTGGTAGTGTAAACATTGCTGTACTGGAATATTGGAATGAGCGTTACAACTCCATAATATCTGTAAAAGTTACCAACAACATTAAAATAATATCATTTCAATAAATACATTATCCTTCCTAAAAAATTAATAAATGAAGGAACAACTTACACAAGATTCTGTACACAGCTTTTAACCAGATTGTTTTCCACATCTGCTTCTGCTGCTATTCGTGCAACATGATTAAAGCCATCAATGTACGGTAATACTTGTTGCGTAGTCAAATCCCACTGATCACTACGAAATGCTTCTCTACCTTCTAAAAAGATAGGTACTTGATGGTCTAGAACAGGTTTTGGTTCTGGTGCTAAGCGAACAACTTTTAAATGAGATGTCATTGTACCTTCTATTTAAAAATTAAAAAACAATGTAGAATAATTTTTTAAAAAACTGTTATCACTAGTTGAATTTGATTTACCTGTGAGAGTGCACATTTTGTGCATATTCAAATCATTCATTACTTGATATAACATTTCTAAAAGCCTTGTTTTATTTTTTGACGCAGACAGAAAACAATTTTCCACTTCTAAAGCCATCTATTTATCAGAAAGTTAGAATCTCCACCAACAATCACTTTAAAAGTTAATTGGTAAAAATGATAACTTAAAGCATACCAAAAAATCAGACATTTTTTTCACGACAGGTTCATAATGCACTGTACGGGCTTCGGCGTCGCAGACGAAGCACAGGTTGAAGTAAAAAGCGTTTCTTGCGTACTTTTTGTTGTCAATCTTGATCGGAAAGCCAAGAATCTTGTAATCTTTTAACGTACTAGATAAAAAATTCATCGGTGTAAAGCAAATCTATGGAATCTTTAATTAAATTATAAAAATCGACCAAGGCAGTCCATCAGAGTACCAATTATAAGATACGCGAACAACAAACAAATAAGTGCAAAAATGTTGAAATAAGGAGTGATGCTAAGACCGAAATAAGTTTTCGTAGACATCTTTGCGAATAGTAATTGTTATTAAAGTAATTTTATATTCAAACAATAAATTAAAAACGATATTGACAAATATTTCACACACGCAATTAAGCAATCACAGCAACATAGCGCACTGTGCAGTGTGCTCAAGATATGCGTACTCATGATTTCGCATACATAGAATTCGGCTGCTTGCTAGAAATCTTGCGGATGCGCATTGGGCAGTGAAAATTGAAATTTTATTTTTAATCGGTTAATGACGAATTATTCGAAAAAATTCCATTTGATATAACACCTTATGATCAATTAAAATTTCATCAACTCACACAGTAATTGTACTTCTTTGGAGTTGTGCTTTTGGAATAATGTAGACGCTTACATTATCAAATATGTCTTTGGATATGTAATTGTCAGGCACCTGCAAATTTTTGTCACTTGATCATAGGAATGCAAAATATTATTTTTTACAATAATTGTTTGTTAAAAACAATTCGTTTTTTAATCCTTTTTGCACGTGAAAAACATTTTTTGCTTTTAAATGTCTACAGTAACTAACCTGACAAGTTATTTTAGGGCCTGCAGTCGGATGAAATTCCGAGAAAAATATACATCTTATTGGACCTTCTTGCCCAGTATCCTCTACTTTGGTTACAGGGAATGACATATTTTCTTTCGTCATTTATATTAAAATTCTCGCGTTCGCGCTAACAAGTGTTGCGTTCGACTCGACCACTTTTATTACTTTGTCAAATAGTTTGACTGTCTAACGCAGAACGACGATGATATTTTGACGTGCTACAAAAATACAGCACTGAGCTGAGAGTCGCCTACTCGCCTGAGACTCCGAGAGCCACCTGAAGAATGGATTTTAAGAGATTCTGATGACGAGTGTGAGTGCGCGCGCATAAAATGATTCTTCAAAGTTAAATTTTATTGACAAAATTTAAAATACATTGGAAATTCATTCAACTCTAAAAGGAAAGAAAGGAGGTGTCAATTATTCAATTAGATTAATTAATGAATTTGAAATAACATTTCTTATCAAATCAATTTATTTACAATTTAAAATATTGTTAAGAAAATAATAACTTGATTGCCATCAACTTCACACACTCTGTAAATATTATTTATTTATAATACTATTCACATTATCTTTAGACTTCAGTAAACTAAATAATTTTCTATAAGCCTCAGGACCATTCCAATTACCCCTGTAATCATAATGATTAATAATCAGTTTTGTGTAAAGAAACTTTTTTTCCTTAATTTTATGTACATACTTCACCATTAAATTCCAATATATAAATGGGAAAACATCTTTTTTTAATAAGTACATTGAATACAATTCTTTGCCTTGATCAAATGGAAAAGTTTCTGTTGGAGTTAAATTGTAATCAAATTCAGCAAGAATGCATTTCCCAGGCCCAGTAACCAAAGGACATGAGGCATAACCATTGTAAGACCATGTCATTTCCTCTCCTGCTATTCTCTGCATTAAATTATTATACAAGACTTTACTCTGTGAAGCTGTAATTACAAAAATGAAAAACGTTACAAGTTACTCAAATAAATTATTATATAGAAGCACTGAAAAAAAATTCAATTCTACCTATAGCAGCCATTGTTTTTGAATTTGGTGTTGTTGTACAATCACCTAATCCATAAATATTGTTATATCGAATGTGTTGAAGAGTTTTAGGATTCACTTCAAGAAAGCCACTGGCATTTGTCAATTCACAGTTTTGTTTTAAAGCTACTGGAGTCCCCATAGGAGGTGTAACGTGCAATAAAGAATACTAAGCAAAATAATTCAGAAATAGAATTATTATGAATATTTTTTAAATTACTTTAATTTCTTATTAAATTACCTCATATGTGGATTTTTTATCTGAATTATCTAAATCTTCAAAGACTGCTTCTTTTCTATCAGGTCTGATTTCAATTAAATTTGATCTTAAATTTACATTTATACTTCTTCTTTTACAAACATCCCAAAGAGCATCTGCATACTTTTTTACTCCAAAAATAACAGGTAAACTTGTATTATAAACTATGCATACATCTTTTCTTTTTCCATTCTAAATAACATAAATATATAAAATTAGTAAGTTAAGAAAGGATAAAATATACATAGTGTTTTTTTATAATTACTTTGCTCCAAAATTCTTCTGCTAAATAAACAATTTTTTGAGGAGCTCCTGGACATTTTACAGGTGTATTTGGAAACGTGAATAAAGCATTTCCACTTTTTACATTTTTGATTTTATCAAATACTTTTGAAACTGTATGAGCACCATATATTGAGCATACTTGAGATTTTGGATCTTTCAAAGCTTCTTGAAGCCCTGGCAGCTGACAAAATAATTTATTAGCTATGAATGAAAATTGTTATGAATAATGATTCAAATCATGAATTAATAAATCAACCTTGTCCCAATACAAGTCCATGCCCATAGCTACAATCATGTATTCATATTGAATGGTATCTCCATTTGATGTTTTTACTTGATTTTCAGATGGTTGAAAACAAACAACTTTATCTTTGATCCATTGAGCTTTTTGAGGTAAAACAGATTTCATAGATTTTCTTGAAGATTCCAAGTCTTTGATACCTCCTCCTATCAATGTAAATAGGGGCTGATAATAATGAACCTTAAGATAATAAAGAACTTCTGATGATTCCAAAAATTCATAGTTACCAAAATACAAAAAAGAAATATTTCACTCTACCTCACTTGGTTCAATTACTATAACATGATTAGGTGTTTTATCAAATTTTTGAGAAAGTTTTGCTGCCATGGCACATCCGGCGGTCCCACCACCGACGACCAATATTTTACAACTAGAAAAAAAATATTTGAAAAAGTACCATTTTGACAGCAACATGCGACATTTTTCGGTCTGCCTTAACGTTCCCCGCTTATGATGTAATATGAATACTCACCATTGATGAAGTTGACGAAACGTCATTGAAAAATGTTGAACTTTGGATACCAGTGATGAACTACTTCTCATGGTAGAATACATAATTAAATTATAATTAGTGTTTGATCAATAAAAAAAGTTTTTCTCAATTTCAAGCAATCGATAAAAATGTAGGGTTAAATCACAGCAAACTCGTATTGATATCGCTGAACACTTCAAATTTATTTCGATAACAACTTTGCTCATCTGGATCAATCAGTTTTATACCATTGGTACCAAGATATTTCGTAGATCGAAATATGCCGATTTTACGTAACCAAAACTTGTCAAAATTGTTCGACTCTTGAGTCTTGACTAGTAAGATGGAACCACTTGATTATATTTTTCGCAATATATCTGACACTTCTTCATTACATAGACAGGTTGAAAGTAAATGATTTCAAGTGGTCGAAGTAAGCTTAATACGTTTGCATACCAACATCGGTTCGCAATTAACTCTTTTATCATTACCTATTTTACAATATTAAAAAAATCTGTATGCTGGGATGGTATGAAAAATAATTACTACATTCGATGATAAAAGGCACATCCTTTTAACCTACCAAAAACACAATCTTGCTGTCACTTTCTTAAGAAAATACACACTATAACGCACTTACTCTCTGCAGCTTGTGCATTATAGGTAACGGCTCCATCTACTACTATAAAAAATTGAATTCAATTTTACTGTCAAGCTGTAGAACCTTTGTCATTAAAGCCTGGGTATGAATGTTTATAAAAGAAAAGAAAATTACTGACAGTTGAAAAATAAAATGATCACTCTAGCCTATCTAAAAATTCCGTGTAAATTACCAATAATGGTGGAAATGCACCTGAATGTAATGAAAAATAATTTACGAACATTCAACATCATTCTCCGAGATGTTGTTATAATTTTTAACAATAAATATATGACTATTTATTATTAGATATCCATTATAAAGATTGTCACAAATAATAAAATTTAAATTTGATTTCTAAAAAGGTAACCCTGCCACAGAAAAACATTACAAAAACAACAAGATTAGATTCATTTCAGTCACTTTATTTAAAAACACTCGACATTTTGTCAACATATTCTTCGACAAGTCAATGACTCTTTGACTTATAGTAACTGCGACAGATACGTTGAAAAAACATTTTAGTGTTTTTAATTAAGTAATGGTGATAGATCCAATCTTATTTTTTTGAATTTTATTTTCTGTGTCAGGTTTACTTTTAAAGAAATCAAACTTTAAAATTTGTAACAATAAATATGATTATAAAACATATTTACAATATTAGGAAAAAAATAAGACTGTATTTTAGTACTTTATATCATAGATTTATTTATGATATTATTATATATATACAGATAAATAAAAATGTATACAGCAATTACGAACAAAAGGAACAAAAACAAATTATTAATCCTAGAGTGTGCTCGCGCTGTTAAAAAACCTTTGACAATTACAAATTTATTGTAGTTGAAACGCTAAATATATAATCATTAACGCATGCATTGGGCACACATCATTTTTACTATTTTTCTTTTTTTAAATTTTTATATTTACAGTATTTTCATAGATTTTACCTAAAAACACGTACAACAATGCTCAGAAAAATCTTTCAGACTGTATTTGTGTTTTTTATTATTATTTTTTTAACTTATTGAATATTTTTCTTAATTTACACATTTCTTACATTTGCTCATTATCAGGCACATTTCAAATGCTTTAAGAAATCTCACAGTTTTATATACATACAAGCTGCACTTTTCATTTACCTCTGATTTATCTAAATAATTCTTACGTACTCTACAAAGTTAAATCTTACAAATTTCTATCGAAAGTGCTTCAAGGCGTAATACAATACGCTGTTGAATTTCAAGGGCCGACGTCAGAGGAATCGCTTTTGTACTATTAACTTATCATACAATATTTACACTTACGAGTGCATACGCCATTTTTATTGCACTTGGTAAAGATTTTCTCTCTCGCAATTGCTCTATTTTTGAGAATGGAACACACATGAACGAATTAGCAAAGTATTAATGTTGAATTTATAGGTACACAATGTAACGCGCGAAAAAAAAATAAAATAAAATAAATGCAGTTTTATTTAATATTGAAAAAATGATTTGCTAAAGAAATCTTCGTGAATAGCCTCTCAAATTGTTCACTAAATCGTTTCCCTTCAACATAACACGAATAATCTGACGACGGTCCATTGATAAGCACGAATTATTATTACAATTCATATCTCATCACGCTTTTTTGTGGTGAATCGATAATGAACAGAGAGAAATAACTTATTTAACGATTGAACGCTATTATAAAACTCAAATAACTAAAAATAAAAACTAAAGAATTTAATTCTGAACCACTTAATTATGTTTTATAATTAGGAAAAAATGTTTATATAGTATTTTTTTGTCTTTGTTTCTCTCTCTCTCTCTCTCTCTCTCTCTCTCTGTCTCTCTCTCTCTCTCTCTTTTATTTTTTTTTCTTACAGCTTTCATAATTTTCGTTTTATTACTTATCAACAAATATATTAGGGTGATTTTTTTTAAATAAAAAAAAATATGAAGAAAATCTATATTTTTTGAGTATAATCACTACCTTGATATATTTCTTAAAATTTCATTGTGACAAATAATATTGGCTATTCTTTTTCAATTTAGTAATTACATTAAATTGAAAGAAAACAATGGTATTTTATGTAATCACCATTAATTTATCGACTATAAGTTAACGATGCGTTACATCAAATTGTAATTATAAAAGATAAATCATTTTTACTTATTGATACTACTAGTAACGTTTTCGTGTGCTAATTTGATTAATAAACACTTGAATGATAAATTTTTTTATAACAATTTTTTAATTAATTTTTCCTATTTCCCGCAAGTGCTCATTACGATTCATCCAACTGAACATTAATTTCAGTAATAAGAAATAATGAGAGGGGGTATTTTTAAACAATTCATATTAAGTAGCATTAATTTTTTTACAGGCGTTAGTTGAAGTGTACTCACGCTCTGCAGCTTCAAGTGTGCGTCAATACAATAAAAAATCGTAACTCTACAATTGATATTACGATTCTCTGACAAAAATGATATTTTCGTCGGAAAATTGAGATCTTTACAGCTTTAACTGATATATTAGTATCTTAATTATAAGCTTCTAACATTCAAGTATAGAAATAATTTTTCGAATTTTTCTATCAAATCTATTAAGCTTTTATTTGGATAAAGAAAGAATGTGAACTGACATTTATCACATATTTAAACAAAATTTAGGCATTTAAAAAAAATTGAGGTCGAGATTCATTCAATCCTTAGATAAATTTACACGCAGGAACACGTAATAGAGCATAAACCCGATGTTTGGAAGAAATTAATTTTTACTTTTTCATTCTATTTTTCATGATAGTCGATTGCAATCAGTCGTTATTTTATTTAATGTTACTATTTATTCTACTTAAGTTAGAAGAAATTTCATCGATAGGCAAAGCGTATTTATACTTTTTTATGTATACATCATTTGAAACGTTGTAATATTCAAAATATAATCAGTTCTTATAGGAAAATTTTTTCAATTGCATTTACAAATTGTTACAACTTCAAGTAATACGCGGAAATTTTATTTAATGCAGGAAAAATGAGCCAGTTTTTTTATAACTTTAGTCTATTGATAATAAGCTTAGCTTGAAAACAACCGAAGAATTTAATATTTCGCTTATAACAAACGATTACTGGTCGTAAGTTTCAATTTTTTTGGTAAATGATTTTTAACTTATTTTATTAGTTTTCACAACTAGATTTAAATTGTATGAATCGATACTATTTCAATTGTGCCCTTTACAACCAATTATGTCAAAAAATAAATAGCGCGAGTATTTAATGTATTAATGATATTAATAGTAATTATAAAATAACAATGGGATATGCTCAAATATTTTTAAGTAAAAATTATCCCAAAATTTTTAGATTGAAAAGCAAACCTTTGAACACTGTGCCTTTATTCCGAAGCTTTCAACGTTTGCTGAGTTGCAACGTTGGCCACTGCAAGGCTTGTGTCTTAGATATTTTCCTTAGTTGACAATCGAACGCTCCAGTTCACACGAAAGGTTCGATCACCCTATAAAAATACATCCCCATTAGTAATTTCATATGCTTTTTATCCAAATAATTGAAAAAAAGAAGAAAATATAAAAATTCGTCAAACAAAATTGAAGCTATTGCATTGCTAATTAATTGAACTATTACATACTCAACATTCAGAAGGAAATTGGTTGGCTTGTATTCAATTAATGCGGAGAAAATAGTTTAAAAATTTATCATTTGAGAATTGCAATATTTCATTAAGACTATTGAGTGACATTTTTTAACAAAAATCAATCAATATTTATATTTTCAGTTGGTTTTGTATATTACATTGAAATAATAAAATAAAATTGAGCGGAATTTAATCAAAAATTTTAATTATTTTTTATTAAAAAAAGGACAATTTTTACAAAAATGTAAAAAATTTATATACATTTTTATCAACACAATGTATTGAAACAACTTCTTACTTTTATACATTTTTTTCATTAAAAATGTTTGTATATAATATATCATTATAAAGAGTAAAATTGTCGGAATAAAGTAAGCATTAGTATGTATAATGCAATTTTCAATTCTATTGACACGATAATTTTCATTAATAAAATGAAAAGTAGCCGAAATCATTGATATATACATCGAGGAGCGCGCTCGCGTTCGCTCTGGCAAGTATGGCAGAGAGAGCTGCGGCGTACACGCTCCTCATATACATCGCACTTATGTATATACATAAACATATTTTTATAAATATATTTTTTCAGAGCTTTCCGTGCTCTGCTACAAAAATTTGTATACATAATATTAAAATGTAATTATTTAATATTATCACAGTCAAATTATTCAATTAATCTTTTTTATAATTCGCTAAAACTACCAATTTGACTTTGAATTATTTTTTAATTGAATAATCAGATAATTACTCAGTCTTTTTTTTTTACTATCAAAAAATATTAAAAAAATACCATTTCATGATGATGTAGAGGTATTATGTACAATGTTTCTTCGTTTCTTTTATTTTTGATAATAGTATTTAATTTGTTGATTATGGTCCCCAAATCCATATCTTGACATTGGGGAATTTTCAGGGACTTCAAAATTTGCTACAGAGTCCATATTTACATTCAATGATTCATACATCACATCTGTCTGAACATATAAGAAAAGACATTTCGTTAATGCCTTTTTAACTTGTAAAATTATTATTAAAAAGCATTTGTAATAAACATTTTTTTTTCATTTTTATAAGAGAAAAAAATTTTGTTGTTTTTAGTCAACACTTTTTACAAATTATTGATAAGGTACCTTAGATGTATTTTTATTTTGACTGCTACTTTTTCCATTAACTTTATCTGCACAAAATTTTTTAGGCAAATGTGCATCAACTTCACTATGTCGTCTTTTGGAACTGGTGTTGGAGCTTCCAGAACTAGTTTCTTTTGGTGCATGTTCTGTTCTTATTTTTAATTTTATGGGTCCTGCATTAGGTGGCGATGGAGGTTCACCAGTTTGATTAGTTGAACTCAACTTTATTTTAGGAATTTTGATTTTTAGTGCATTCCCAGATGATGGTAAATCTCCAATCTTTTCTTTTGGAATTGTAATTTTGAGAGACGGTGCAGTAGATGCAATAGACAATCTTGAACTTTGAGAGTCATTTTTATGTTCTGATTTGCTAGATGAAGAACTACTTTTGTGTTTTTCTTTATCACTGGATCGATCTTTGTGTTTGTGCTTTTTTGGTTTGTCACTACTTCTGTCTCTTTCTTTATGTTTATACTTATCTTTCTTTTTTTTCTTTTCGTGAGAATTATGTTCTGAGAAAGTTTCATTTGAATTAAAATTGTCTGTATTTTTATCAATCGCAGAAGAGTTCAAGACACTAAGATCTATGGTTGAACATTCTTCTTGTTTTATTTCTGTTTTTATTCTCAATGTTGATGGCATTGTGGAAGCAGATGCTAAAAGAGATCTTATTTCTTCAGGTGAGTTTGGTTTATGTAGCGAAGTATTATTAGTTAATGAGCTCTTATCTGCAGTTGATTTTACACTGTTCTCTTGGGTACTGTATCCATTTTTAGATTCATCAGTAGAGTCATTAGGTTCTAATTTAATTTTTTTGTCTGATGTGCTATAATTTGGTCCCAACCTCTTGGCATAGGCTTGCATTTGCATTTCCTTATTAACATCACTATCAATCATTCTTTTGAATGCTTGAGAATGTGTTTTAGTATCATTGATTTTGTTTTGTGGCTCTACCTCATCCTCTTTAGATCGTGATGTTGGTTCAGGACTAAATATCGATCTTTTCTTTTCGCTTGAGTATGAAGCATTGTTGGTAGAAGATTGTAATATATTATTTATTTCATCTGTTACAGAATCAAGTGGTTTCATCACACCTGACTTTTCTTGTGAAGTTGATGGTTTAACATTGTTTCTAGAGAGTGATGACGAGTTCCCAGGATAGGAAATTTTTTTGTTTGACGGAGTTTGATTTAATTTGTTCCCAAATGTTTGCATAGAACCTTGGATAATAGCTGAAGGTTTGAGATTCGAATTCCGGTGAGAACTGATATACTGATTATAAGTGGAACTTTTCAACATCAAAGTATCATAAGTTTTCTTTCTCATTTCTGCTGCCTGTACAACAGAAAATTCTTTTTTTGCTACAGAAGTTTGTGGTGGGCCACTTATACGCCCATTATCTTGACCAGATTTGTTCATAATCAGGTCTAGAACGTTGTCTGTCTTTTTCTTTGGATTTTCACTAATCCCTGGAAGAGGCCGGGATTTGGCATCAAAATTAGAACTTCGACTGGAATATTGAGGTATTTCAATTTTTTGTTTTGCAGTACTATTTGATGAATTGCTAGATTTGCCACTGTCATTTGTTGGAGGATTACTAGTTTTACTGGTTTCACTGCTTGGAAGGTTACTAGGTTCACCAGTTGGAGGTAACAAAATTTTTGTCAAATCTTCTCTCTTAGTTGGTCTTTTATCAAATAATCCTGGTGCTGAATTATTTGTAGATTCACTTGAATTTAGTGAATTTGCCTGAGCATTTGAAATTTCATGGGTCACGCTTTTAATTTTCTTTTTTAATTTTGAAGGGCACCGGTCAAAGATGTGCATAAATTCTTCGGTAAGTTTCAATAACAGTTCATGTGTGACTTCCTTATCAACATACCAAAACCATTCGTGTCCTTCATTACTGTTTGGAATATGCCAGTTTGACCAAAGGCAAGCTAAGTGAATGCAAAAGCATGCAACAACAGTTGGCTTATATTGTAGACACATAGTTGTCAAATGTAAGCTGTTAGAAGCCATAAAATAGCTAGTTTGTGCCAAGTCTTTTGAGGCATTAACTAAATGGCAACATTTGACTACATGAGTATGAGGATGGTCAATTTGTACATCAAATCCTATAGTTTGTAGCAAAGTAATCTCACAATATTGTAAGTCTGAGAAAATTGCGCTAAACTCGTCAGTTCGTAGAGGCCCATGGTTTGGTGATAATTGATTGAGGCAAGAATGATAAACCTTGATCACATGCTCTAATTTTCTTGGCTGTTCTTCTATTTTAGCTGCAAGAAACAGTGTTGCAGCAGAGACAATGTTTCTAGGAAATTTCGACATGGAATGAAACACGTAAAATCGATGCATGTATACAATTCCAGTATTAATGCAGAGCTGAGACCTATAATAAAAATCATATAATTTTTTTATTCCAAATTTTTATATGCATTGAATAATATATATACATATATTTCTGTGTATAGTGGAGAAGGAAGTACTTATATGTACTTATAAAAAATATAGGGTAGTTAGACCAATCAATGAATGGGTACCAGTGAATGATTATTTTAGAAAATATCATATGAAAAACAATTAAAAATATATTTGTATGGACTTAATTCAATTCTTTAGTAAATGATGCATCTTGTTTTTTATGTTTGATTATAATTTAATAAGGAAAAACGATAATTATTGCACATCAAAAAGTGGTTATTTACAGGGTCAAAAGCGGTCAATCACATGTATAAGTACCCAAAAACGAGCATTATTCAAGGTTGGAAAATTTCGAATTGATCCAGCGCAATGGGATTTCATAGTCGCGCACTCTCTTAGTAGCGCATACGTGTACGCATAACGGCATGATCAAATGGAAATGTAATTCTACGCATGTAATGTGAAAGTGAAAGTGAATCCACATGGGCGAAGCAATTCTGGTAGCTTCTAAAATTCTTGATTTGTTACGCTGTAATAGAAAAAAAGAACACGTGGCTCGAGCATCTGCCTCTATTTTCTTCGAAAAAGAGAAAGTGTATCGAGAAAGCCATGTTAATAGGTTTTTAGGTTGGAAAATCAAGTGAAACGCAACGGAAACCGTGGCTCTTGCTACCGCGTGCGCGGGAGTAAAGTTTCTGATGGCGTGGTTCCTGCTTAGCCACATTAATTCGAAAAGACTGTAGCTTTTACTTTTTACCCGAACACCGTACACGTAGATGATACTAGAGAGCATAGCGTACAACGCGAGCATGGCAATGAAATCGAGCTTATACGTGAAAAAGAGCACGCCAGATATACATTTAATAGTTATGCAGGCGAGAAAAGAAGACGCCAGATATACATTTAATAGTTATGCATCTCTAGCATAAACTTGATTTTTTAACACTACGTGCGCGAAACACGGGTTTTCTAACCTTAAACCGTCAGAAAACCCTAGTTTCTCGCAAGCAGAGTTAAAAAATATCGTTTGCAACTAGTCCGCGAGGAAGTTGACTCACCCAGGAGTCTTTGCACCCTCGCTACGCTCGAGTGAAAACTCCTGGATGAGTCAACTGCTTCGCGCACTTGTTACAAAATATACTATTTTATATATGTTCAGTGTATTGTAATCAATTTACTTACACTTGTAGTCGTTGGCCCATGTCTTGAATCAAGTTTGCAGCCTGCTGGCGATAGCTCAATTCCTTGTACTTATCGATGCCATCCCTTCGACTGGGCGACATCATTTCGAGGGTTGCTGCATCCCAGTACCAAGTTTTCACCTTTGCCTCTGCTTTTCGTTTAGCAGCTGCAGCAAGTTTTTCCTGTTGACGTTCTGGGCTTGCTGGGGGCAAGACTTCGTCCTCTACATGTTCTTCTTTCCCAAGAGAGGGTAGCGATTTTGAGTTCATGATGAATACTAAAAATTCTTGAAGTTAGTAGATAAGATGTTGCACTAGATAGAAGTGTGAAATGTATCCGTGACGACTTAACCTCTTGTTGCACAAAAAATTTAACCACCAGTTTTAACTATTCTAAACGTTTTTAGTTAAAAAATACAACATTAAAGTTCGATATATAGTTCAACATGAACACACTACTACGCTGAGTTCTTGTTCTATAGGAGATTCTTGTAAGAAGGAAGCAATTTTTCCAATGTATATATACCTCGTATTCGGAGCTGAGCCAACGTTAAAATGAACCCAGGCTGCAGGCATCGCGAGTAGCTGCGTGATTCTAGAATAGTCACTCTGCACATGCGCAATAGAGATTAAGTTTCCAGTCCAAGTTCCGTCGTCTTGTGACTAATTTACGGTACAGAACACCTCTCCACGTACTCGCGAAATTCAAATTCTTTACAAAAATTGAAATTTTCATTGCAAAATTTTTTCCTTTTTCTATCGTTAAAGTGAAATTATTATTGTAACTCTAATGAAGGGTTAAAATATATCTGAAATCATTATAATTATTATGTTTACGATAGGAATTTTAAGCGGGAACCAGAGAGAGAGTTGGAATTTACTCAGATTTCGTCGAGAACGACTTGAAACAGAGTAAAGGAACATGTATAAGTATAGGAGATTCCTGCATTCCAGGGGAGGCCCGAGGGATAGGAGTGAGACGCGGCCTTTACAAATCTTTACAATACTTCAGACTCTATGCTTGAAACCTAACGATACACTGGAGTGAGTACAGCCACAATTTTCAATTTTCGATTGATCGAAACTTGAAGAAGGAAACTCTCGATTCGAGAATCGAAAATTGCACTCGCGACTATTGTGCAAATTGCGATCTTTTCCACGAAAGTATAGATAGTTCGTTAACGACTCTGATCGTGTACCAAGCTCGTATTATTCGCGAAAGATTTTCGTATATTTTTTATTTATGTAAACTCAAAGTCAAAAGTTCTGAAGGAGGTTCTGTGGTGCAAAAATTATTTTATCAAGTGTACTTTCAGATAATAAACATTTTGTGAAAATAAATCGTGCATACAGATGTAAGAATCTTCTATAATGATAAAACTTACAGGTTAAATTTCATAAGGTTATGATGACAGATTTGATTATTCTAATTTTTAATGAATATACTGCTTCAATTAAGACTTCATGGTTTTTAGCTGTCAAGTATTAAGAAAAATTTATAATGAATTCTATTGAATTTTTGTAACTGAAATCTGATCACCATGAAACATTGTAAATAATGGTGTTGAAGTGACATGATTTTCCACAAATAATATTATCTTCAAAATTCAAAAACCTCATTTATTACAAGCTTGATTGATATGCTAAAGAAAATTTCATTTTATTGATGCAATCACTGTGTAAATAATTAGACACTTACTGCAGACTCTTATGGTTAGAGATCAAATTCATATACATTCACATAATTTATTTATTTAAACTTTTTACGAAAAAGTTTACTCCCGTTATTTATTTTTTATCTAATCAGCCTCAGGAATATGTAAAAAATGTTTCAAATTTATTTCTATGTGTTGATGCAAAATCTGATAAAGTTTAGTTCGTTTTCTTAAATTTTGTATAAGATTTGTGTATCACCTCTATAAACAACATTAAATGGAGTAAACTTCTACTATTTTTTTACATTTTCATTTACTATTCTATAGTAGGTAATAAAATACATTTGCAAAATATACTAATTTGACCTTGTTACCATGACTTATGACAATGAAATCTTTTTATTTACATCACAGAATTTATATTAAACTAGAACGTTTATTAATTCTTTCAATTGCTTAATCATTACTGCGAAGTATAAATTCAATTCCATTGAAGATTTATTTGATTTTTGTAAATGAATTTTACAGAGTAAATGAATTATGTAGAATTTTTCTATTACTTTATAATTATTTTATTCATATATAACTAAAATCATAGCAAACATAAATGATATTTTATTATAATTATTACATGAAAATGGAAAAAATAGTTTGAATTAACATGTAGAAAATACAAATTTCTAAAGAAAACTGAAAAGCATGGTGCAAACTTAATCATGAATTTTTGTCATAATGTATTAAAACCATTTATATGAATTAGTGTACATATTTTTAAGGTCTAGTGTAGGAAAAAAATTTAGATTTATTATTTTGTTAAAATCTTCAAAATATTGACATTTTTGGAGACCGCCCTTGTTAATTTAATGATTGTAAAAAGTAATTTTCAATGTGATCGAATAAGTAAAAAACGAAATATATAAAAAATATCAAACTCATCTTGAACGTCAAATTTCATGACATTCTGTTTGAAATTTAACATTTCATGGCATTTATATTTTAAAAATGTTCATTCATCAAAATGCATCTATAATAATATTATCTTTATTGGATACAATACTAAATCTATTTAACATTGGGACCAGGGACGGAATGTTTTTTAAAAACTTCTAAGCCAAATGTTACTGTAATTTGGAATTTTCCTAAAAGTCATTGAGTTATAATATAACGTCAAATTGTATGCACTGCCAGAATTAATCTTAGAAATTGAGGCACAGGATATTAAAAAGTCATAAACAATTATACAAAAATAAGAAACGAACTATTTTTGAAAAAACAACAATATACCGACTGAAATTTCAAAGTAAAGAGGGAACATTTGTGATAGGCCATAATAGTTTAAATATCAAAATTCAATGTAGTCGACATAAAAATGGCGCCTCGTAGGAAAAAATTATATGCAAGCTAGGTACATTTTTTATGGCAAGTTATAGCTGAATTCTTAAATAACACTAAATTTCACGTTAAAAAAGAACACTCGATAATTTTTAAGAAAATTCTGAATGACCAATGTTTGACTTAAAATTGTTTTTAAAAAGTCGTCCATCCAGGCGCTAATGCAGCTTAGACTTGTGTTTTATACTTGGTTGCTATATGTAAAGTTATAAGCAGACAACATGCGTTGTGACGGGTCTGTTATGCTCTCATTATGGCCTAAAAACATAAAAAGCAAGACAAAGCCTAGATTAATAATAGTACAAAAATATTTATTCTAAATAATTAATTTTTTCAGGATAAAAGACATGTATCGAGCTCCAAGCTTATTGCTGTCTAGTAATACTGCAATGCCTCAAACACATACTTTGACGCACAAACAAAAATGTTCTTATTCTTATTATGAATGCATGCAACCTTGCTTAGAAGTTTATTCTTACTGCCCAAAGCATATCTTAGAAGATCCAAATGCTCCATACACACAATGTAATTATATTTATAGTATAAATGGTCGCAAATGTCAAAATGCTGCACATATTCTAGATAAAAAAGAAATATCGTAAGTAGTGAATTGTGAAATTTTTTACCACTTACATTATGTTTTAATTACCATAAAGTAAAAAAATATTTAATATTATACAGGTATTGTCCAGAACATACACGAAGAGCACAAATTGCTCGTACCAAATCTGCATCTAAGCATTCTTTACCAGAGAGTCCTGAAACAATACTGTTAGGTCTCAAGCATTATGTCAAATCTTCTGACTCGCTCAAAGCAAGTATTAAAATTGAGTCCAATGAAAACCAACTGACAGAACCCCAAGAAAAATCAGAAATTCTAAATCCTTTTAGTAAGAAAAATTATTGATTATCATATATTTTGATTGTCTTAGAACATTTTTTTAAATCTCTTTGTAGCTCAAATGAAACCTCATGAAATAAATGCAAGAGGACCAGATATTCTAGACGATGCAAGTTCATCAGACAGTGATGTTGAACCTACTTGGATTAATGAAACTGTTAGAGGTATTTATTTTGAAGATAGTGACAATGAAAGCTTACATAGCCTTGAAGAGGATCCTCTCAAACATGCGGATGTATATACTACAGAAGAAATAGTTTATATAACTAAAGAAAAATTAATACGATTACAAACCTTGTACATGGATCAGTATAAAAAACTACAAGCAACTTATAAAGATAGAAAAAGAAAATATCATCAAGCTTTAAAAAAAGAAAAGGAAACTTCATGTAAGTACTTCATATAGATTGTATATAATTTGAATCATGAAAAAATAAATTGTATTAATTATTATATCAGGTAGTATCCATGATCAGCCTAAAGATACTGCGAAAGAAAAAAAAATATACCAAAAGTTTAAAGCATTGAACAATTATCATAAACGTAGTGGGATTGAAGCGATATTGCATAAAAAGTCGTTAGAGCGTAAAGCAAAAATTTCTGATGGACCAATACAAAAAGGCCCTAGTGTTCAAAAATGTATTTTTACTGAAGGAGGAGTTAAATGTGGTGACCGAACTCTTCCATCTTCTAAATATTGTCGAAAACATATTTTGAAAGTTAGTTTTTTAATATTTTACAAATCATAATTTTGAGTGTTGGTTCATAATTAATTTTTTATACAGGATCAAATGCAAGTTTTATTCAAAGCTTGCGGAGCTGTTGAGGGGGATACTGAATGCCACGAACCTGTAACTGTTATATTTGATAAATATTGTGTCTTCCATTCCAAAGTTCCTTCTGACTTCAAATTAGAACCTACAAAGGTATTTAATTACTGTTTAAAGAGAAAATCATTTACACCAAGAGTTTAAACATATTAGTGGCTTCAAGCCTTTTCTTTATGTTACTAGATTATTTTTGAAAAAATATCTCTTTAATCTCTATAAAAATTTGTAAAAATATGAAAATAGATAGTTTCAGCCTCAAATTTAATCACTGAAAAAATATTATGAATATGATTCACTTTCATTATCAAAAACTTTGAAAATTTATTATAAAATGAAATATTCTACAGTGCAGAGCATTGTGATATAAACTCATGGTGGATGAAACCTTTGTTTCCATTTAATGATAATAATGTATTTAAATGATATCCCAATAATTATATTTTAGTTTAAAGATGTAAAACCTCAATGGAAGGAAGACTTCTCAACTGATAAAATGAAGATGGGCATAAGTGATTTGGAAGGTAATCAAGAAATAGATCCTGACGATGATATTGCTGGTATAATGCGTGAAATGAATGATATTGAAAATAAAAAAACTATGCTGAATGATAGTTTAAATAGTGAAGCAAGTACAGATACTGCTTTTAGTCTAAATGCTCAAATGAGTGACAGGGATGATTTAGTATAGTACAAGTTGTTTAGATCTTTAACTTGTAAAAGTGTACAAATGTAAATATGGTGTTTTTAATTGTAATAATTTAATTTTTTGAAGTTTATAAGAACATAAATGAGTTGAAAGTTATTTTTTTATCATTCAATAGGTATTTTTCTTAGATTGAAAAGCAAAATGAATCTGAGAAAATGTAAAAAATTATGTATGAATAAATTTTAATTCTTTCAAGGCAATAAATCTAATTATTTTAAGTTAAACAATCATAAAATTTACGAATTCAACTTATTTTACAATCGATTATAATTATAATAAATGTTTTAGAGCATTAAAATAAAATCCAAGCTATTGTTATATTTTTCAAACCACAAGTGGTTGTTTGTGTTATATTTAAACATGTATAAAGAATCCTGTTTGAATAGTGTTTTGCTTTTATTTTGTTTTAAGCATAATGTAATCAAGTAAATTACCAATTCATTCTAAATAATACGGAACAAAAGCTGTATCTTGTTACGAATATGCCAAATTTGTTTTATCGATATTTTATTTAATTTATGGTCTTGATTCAGTGAAAATCTGTTACAAGAATGAAAAAATTATCATTACAACAATAAGGATGGAAATTAATCTATTTAATCATAAATTGGTTGACGGGTAGGGTAATGCCACTTTAGGATTTTTTAAAAATTCCAAAATTCGGTAATTTTTTGTGGAGGCCACTATAGATCATTCAAATTGGAAATGTATGAACTAAAAACATATTTTTATTTATGTTCACTACAATATGGCAAAGATGTTGCAAATTTATTAAAAATCGATTTTTTGATCAAGCCATTTTCCTCGGCTTTTATGACACTTGGAACAAAAAGACGAATATCCTTTCAAAGTTGAAATTTTTTTCCATTGAACCACGTAGGATTTTAGCTCAATAGTAAAAATTGTGGAAATGGCAGCTTTCCGAAAAAAATCGATTTTTGTCGAAAAAGTTCGCCGTAAATTGTTTATAAAAATTGAAATAATAAACTAATCGAAAAACGACTACGTACTTTGCTTAAAAATATAATTCAGCTCAATTGGTTCAATAGTTCTTGTAATGACCTAGTCATATCATCTTTGCGGCCGTAGGCAGGTGAAACACGGGGCGGCAAATCAGCCCGATGCAACACCAAGTCCCGAACGGGCATGCTAGTGTACGGCCACACACGTACACCGCAGCGCGCACTGGTGTGAGTGCGCACACGGACAGAGCCGTGAACGCTAGTGTGCGACTGCACACGTACACCGCAGCGCGCACTGGTGTGAGTGCGCACACGGACAGAGCCATGAACGTTAGTGTGCGACTATACACGTACGCCGCCGCGCGCACTGGTGTGAGTGCGCACACGGATAGAGCAGCAAACGTTAGTGTGCGACTATACACGTACGCCGCCGCGCGCACTGGTGTGAGTGCGCACACGGATAGAGCAGCAAACGTTAGTGTGCGCCCACTCACGTACGCCGCGGTACGCACTGGTGTGAGTGCGCACACGCGTGGAGCGGCAAGAGCTTGTGGGAAGCATAGCTCGCGCTTGCAAGCTACAAGTCGAAATTTATGATGCCTCCGTCGCCAAAAAGGCGATGGGATAACCGGCTCGGGCAGGAAACGGGATGTTGGCAAAAATCAGGTCACAACTTGCGAGCAAAGAAACTAAGGAAACGGCTCAAGCATCCGCTAAAAATCCCAGACACGACGGATGGGAAAAAACGCGCAGCCCGCAAGCTCTAGAGGACACATAAAGTTCACGGTGACCCTAGCTCAAACAAAGAGGGTACGGCAGCAACAAACAGTATATAAACCGAGACTCAGAGAGTCTCGGGGCCAGTTATCGTTCTCGGTTCAAAGCGTATACATCGACGCTCGTCGGCTCAGTGTTCATTCTCGGTTCGAAGCGTGTACGTCGACGCTCGGTCTTCACATACACCTTTACTTCTCGAGTCAAAGTTCACAGTTTACGTGAAAGCCAGCCTGTTGCTCGGCTCCGCAGATAAAATCAGTGCGAGATAGTAATACGAAAAGTACGCGAGCCCGTGCACCTGCAACCACCGACGCCGCCCAGCACGCTGACACCGTGCCGGCTTTATCGACACCGAGAACACCCTCATCGACACCGAGGACACCCTCGTCGACGCCGATCTCCTCGAAGCCGATCGCGCCGACGCCGATCACCCTCACCGACGCCGCACGAGCCGAGGCCAGACCGTCACGGGCCCGCCCTACAACAGACAGCACACCGACGCCTTCAGCCACCGCACCGATCGTCGCCGCCGAAGAGAAGAACACCGGTACATAGTAAGCAACATTTATGTAACTAGGGTTAAGGTTAAATAAACAGTCTCTTGTGAAATTCTGTGTTATCCTTCCTTCATCTCACCCTACCCCAGAGACAAACGCGAGCAGAGTCGAGTCATTAGCTTTCAGTCAGCTGGCATATTTTATTAATAATAAATAGATGGTGGCAAACTAGTCATCACATTCTTGTGATTTTTGTCCGTTAGTGTTGAGTTATTTCGAGTAAAATGCATTCCTAGTTTTTTTTCCATTTGGCTCTCGTATAAGACGGTATAGAAAAATTAAAAATAAAACATCTTAAAATTATTTTTACCCTGTAAAACCAATTTCGCATCATTCTAGATACACAAAGGGGGCACAATAGATGCAAAAAAAAGAAAATCGATTTATTGAATAGCTTTACACTTTAATAACTAGCATGAAATGATTTAATTTTATTACATTAGAAAAAAAATATTTTCTTTTTACTCAATAAATTAGTTCAGATAATGTTTAAAAAATCTTTACGTTTGTTTGTTTATTTTTATCATTCGTAACTTTTTTCTACGCATTCAATCGTAATTTCAAAACTGATTTAAATGGCAATGGAAGATACATGGGAAATAATCGGGTTGAAAGTCGGTAAAAACTTGAGTTTTTTGGTCATGGGTTAACTAATGAAAGAAAAAGCGCGCAATTGATCAGGGTGGGGCTCAAAAATGAATATGTTATCATCGGGCTTTTATGCCTATAAATGCAAAAATATGAAAATTAAGGACTAATGTTAAAATTTTTTGTTTCTGATGTTAAAATATGTTTTGACTGGTCCTTTTACAACAAAAAAGATGTCTGTAGTTCCTTTTATTATTAAAATTCATCTAGGATTCATTAATATTGACTTGTGATTTTTAAGTCCTTGATCGCATGATTTAATCAATTGTATTCCTTTAGGTCTCAAGAGTTTTGTAATTAAATTTTTTTCCACTTAAGTGTAACAGAATTTCAAGAAAAGATAAAGCCATCACCTTTCGATTAGCGCATTAAAAAATACAGATCCTCGTGCTTTTTAAGGAAGTATTCAACGATCAAAGTATAAAATCATGGTATTTTGGCTTATGTTCGCCTTCTAACCCGCTTCTAGGTTGTGCATAAATTAAAAAATTATTTAATACAGTCAAACCCCGTTATCTGCGGGGGTTCGGTTCCAAAAAAGTACCGCGTATACCGAAGCATTGTTCTTATGCGAAAAGGCGAGTTCGGTTCCTCGTCCAGCTGAAATGTCAATGTACCAAAGAGTAAAAAAACTTTTTTTTTTGAAAAATCAATAGTATATAGGGTAAACCAGCAAGTTACCGGACACTGCTAGTTTTCGGACACTTTCAACTTTGAGTTAGAATAATAAGAGAACGCTTACTTCTAGCGATGCGCGGTTTTTTTTAATGAATTCAGCATGCAATTTTCTTCAAAATGACATAGTTCAATAAAAGATTGGTTCATTATATCAATTATAATGAAGTTTAGATTTGCAGGCTACTTTAACAATGTATGACAAATTGCCCAAATTAACGAAAATCCATTAGTAAGTGGTTTTCGTAAATCTGACTTAATTACTTGAAATGTTAATTATTCATCAAAAAAAACTATTGGAGCATGTTCAGAAGCCTTTTTTCAACAATTTCCCATAGTTTTATTATTTTCAACGGGTCAAATTGAATAAAAATTTTGGTGTCCGGTTATTGACCGAAGAAAATGAAAAAAATTTAGTTTTCGGACAGGTGTCGATTTTAGCCGTAAGTACAGGTTCTGATTCTTCCCGTACGAAAAAAAATCTGTGGAAAAATCTTACAGAAATTCCGGCAGAAAATCCTGCGTTTTGCATTTCGTAAGGGTTCATCGTCTATAACCATTTCTTCAGCTTCTGAATTCATGTGCACCATATTCTGATCGAAGACTCGTTGACGTCGAGTCTTCTTGAGAGGGTAGCAACATTTTCACCAGCTGCCAATGCATCGAGATCACAATCTTTTCGACCAAATTAAGGACTTTTCTATCGCGCTTTTTTTCGTTTGAAACTGGTTTTTTTGACGTTGATCGAGTCATACTTAAAAAAAAAATTAATAAAAAATTTTTTTAATTTGAAGCGCACAAAATGTTAACCTTCAGAAAAAAAACCTCGGATACTGAAGTTAGGTCACAAACGAGGGTACCGCGGATACAAAGAATCGCGGATAGCGAATCCGTGGATAACGGGGTTTGCCTATATACCAATTAGACAAATTGGGAATGATTCATTTTCGTATAAAAGGATGTTGATTAAATGTAAAATAAAAAGTCATTTTATTTAATTTAGTTACGCGTCAAGTGAAAACTTCGATATACTTTTCAATAATTCAAGTTCAAAATAATTAGGGTAGTCGGACCAATCAATGACCGGGTACCAGTGAATGAACATTTTGGAAAATATATGAAAAACAATTAAAAATATATTTGTATGGTCGTTATTCAATTCTTCAGCGAACGAAGTATCTTGCTTTCTATGTCCAATTATCATATTATAAGAAAAAATAATGATTATTGCCCATCCAAAAGTGGTCATTTACTGGTCGAAAGCGGTCAATCACTAGTCCAAGTATCCTAATATTAAAATGAAAAGTTCGATACTCTCAAATATTCAGGTCCTTTATCAGTTTTCAAAAGCATTATAATAGACAATTCCGAAAAATTTATCATTGTTTATTCCTCACTTAAAGTCCTTCAAGTTCAAAAATAAAACGAATCGGCCAGGATTGTAATATGATATTGCATACGAAGTATAAAAAATATGGGTGTTTTCAGAATTTAGCCAAAGTTGTATTTTAATCTTTGAAAAAACAAATAACGTTATTTTGTGGTCTTTTATGCTAGCTATACTAAGGTTTTTAAGTTAGAAACATGCTTTTTGACAATAAATATAAATTCCTCATCAAATTTTACACAATAAATCATGATTCAAATATTTTTTCAACAGAATTATATGTACAAATTAACAATTGAACTAGTAGATTCATGAGGGATGAACGGGATGGACCTAGGGGGCCAAAATTGTCAAGATTTTCATTTTTCAATGTACATACCTTTTAAGAGTACTTAATCACTAAGTGTCAAATTGATTGTTTGCATATCTTTCATGATATAACCCATATATGTACCCATGAGTTGTATATGCCAACGTGATAAACAAGTAAATTCCACATCTTGAAAATACAAAGGCCTACATAATAAGTCTCGCGTCCGTTTTCACGGCAACAGGTGGTCTGATGCATATCGCCAAGATGTAATTACGTGCCACTTGTTGTTATTGCTCGATTTCTGTTGGTGCGCTGCTACGGACTGCAAGTATAGCATCGTTCGTATATTATTGATCAAATTGTTCTGAATTTTTCGCATTAATCGGTATGAAGAATCAATTATATTTTCAGAGGCTAAGAATTATCGATACTATTTGTAGAATCATAGATTCCGAATCATTTTAACATAATAACAGTCAATTAAAAGCTTCGCTGCTTTATTTTTATGTTAAAAATGACTTGGGGCGTTGACGTTTACAATTAACCACGCAATGAGCATAGATCTTTTAGTCGTATCATCTATACTTATGAAATAAGTTTCTTCATTATCTCTCAAAAACGATCTATTAGATTTTCGAGTGCGTACATGGAAAAAGTTTTCTCAATCGAAAGAATATTTTGTATGTTTATAAATGAATCAGCATGGTAAATGAGCATGGTATACCTATATAGCTGTAATGTTCAATAAGAGATAAAAAAAATTGTTATCAGTAAGAACGGTTACAACTCAACGACGATACGATAGCGTGTTGTAGTGTTTGCTTCTTCAGTTTAGTAAGAGGCAGTCTAAAGATAACAAGATTCCATACAGCTTGTATTTTTATTTCAATTAATTTTCAAATAAGTATATTATTGTTTTATTGTAGCTTATAGTATTGTGCAAAATTTCATTTATCATGGCAGATTTGGGCTCATGCAAAATAGTAAAAAAAGAACTTCACGTTCCTACACTTGAAGAAGTAAAAAATGGTATGCATTTTATAATGTTAATTCATTTTTTCTTTAACTAATTGAAGTATAAAAATAAATTATTTATTCGCTGTGCTTTTTTCCAGTTTTTCTCAAAGCTCTGAAAGAAAACTTTAAAGATGTTGAAATTTCTGTTGTGGACTGTCCAGATTTAACTGAAGAACCTTTCACACTTTCTGCCCCAGGTACAACAAACTGTGCTTTTTTTATATGAATAATCGTAATGATTTTTATACATCATCCATTTGCATCAGGACTTGGTGGTAGAATGAATATTGTTGAAGTTGGAGGACCACCATATCTATTGCCGTTAGTAAACAGAGAAAAAGTGTATGATTTACAATCTCTTTTAAAAGATCTCAAATACGGAGATAGAGCTTTTGCCGCTGGAGCTGGTGCAGGTCCATGGCCATATATCAATCAAAATTGTGAGGTAAAAAAAGATTATCTAAACCTATTCTTCATAATTACTTCAAACAATGTATCTTGGTTTTAGATGATGATGAATGTTATGATAGATTCATCCAAAATAAAAAATGGAACCCGTATAGCATCTGTCAAAAATGATGATCAGACTTGTCTATTAGAAGTTTTGAAAGGAAATGAAACTAGATTTGCCCTTCTAGCAAATTTGTTTCTTTGTGAAGGAATACCTGGTAGAGTACTAAAAGTTCATGTAAAAACAAGAGTAGGTAAAAAAGATTTTATAGCTACGATGCAACAAGCTTTAGCTGAACATTATGTTGACAATCTTGTTGGTAAGTAAAATTTGAAAAAATTTTAATGTCATAATTATGATTTCAATACTAGTGAACTATACAATTATCATATTGATTAAATAAAAGGATTAGGAGGAACGTTTGTAATCAAGCAAGGAAAAGCAAAGCAGCATGTGATGCCTGATTTCTCTAAGACACCATTAAACACTGTTGAAGATCTTGACAAATGGTTACATTTTTATGAGATGTCAGCACCATTAGTAGCAGTTGGTACTTTTGTATCTGCTGAAACAGTAAGTTTGTAGTAACAAATTTAAAAAAAAATTTAAGTATAATAAAAAATTCTCAATTTTATTTTTAAATATTTAATCAAGGATTTAGATTTGCGTGTCCAACATTTCCATAGCTTTTCTCATCATGGTGAAGGTGGACATTATCATATTGATACAACTCCAAATGATGTTGAATATCTTGGATATTTTAATGTTGGTGAAGTTCTTTATAGAGTTGATCAACCACCGAATCCATTACAATTTGGAAAAGATTGAATTATTCATTTCATACTAAAATAATTTAAAATTATATTGTTTTTATGTACATTTATTCAAATATTTCATGAGATAATTTTAATTAAATAACTGTGATTGAGACTATATGGTACACACAACACCAAATTGTTTTTTTTTTTCATCGTTATGATTATTATAAATATAATTGAATAATTGTTACCAAAATATAATTGAAAGAGAAACATTTTAATAAAGAAAATTCAAATATTTTATAGTACTTAATGATTTTTTATTCAGAGAAAAATACAACTACGGTTAACAATCATTTATGCAACTATATCATATTTATCTATGAGATAATATGTACAACGTATAATCCAAGCCCCAACATTATCGAAAAGGTAGATTCACAATTTATAATTTATAATAAATCAATTGTTGTAATTTTAAATATGCACTTGTGTAACCCTTTAAACATATTACTAAGCTGTAGCTATAAATTACAGTTGTTAAATAAGTCAGGCAATAAAAATTTGATGTTTTTATACAGAAACATTTTAAAAATGCCATACTTCATTCATAGATATTTAATAAGACAGGAAATTAAATTACATAGTAAACATTCATAACTAATTTTTATAAATAAACAAGAATTAATTACAAAATAGATATAAACCAAGTGTATTTTATTACAACGAATACCTTCAGCAATATTCTATGTAAATAAAAATATTTACATATTCATTATCATGATACACATTCCAAGCTACTTTTAGTATTACAGGATTAATTTTTTTATTTTATCTTCACAAATTTCTAATATTTACAGTGTAATAATCATATTTTGACGTTAACTTGCTTACCTTATTTTAATTAGTAAGAACTTTCAAATTCTTAATTTAACTTGGAGACGTCATTAGCTTAAAATTATAATTGTTTCATATTTCTTCATTTGGTTTAACATATTATATTTTATTTTTGCCAATAGATTAAGTTTTGATAAGTTTAATTTTTTATATAAAATATGAGATTGAGCTATGGTAAATCTCTGGTTCTAAACATTTCAAAGTATAATAATTTTAGTTTTTTACATGTTATTTATTCTAAAAATTTATAAAATTTCCATTATTAATATTTAACAAATGTTCATCTACATTCTACATTAACTTTATTTTTCTTTAATCGCATGTACTTATAAAAATACGTTTTTAATACATATGTTATAGCTGTTTATTAATTTCTTAACTAGTGAAAGAAGTTCATAATTACGAACAATTTCAAGAAAATAACGTCTCCTTAGATTAAATTCATAGATAAATTATAAATTACAAGTTTCTAGAATTATTTTCATTTTCATGAATTTTCAAAAGTTATTAAATTAACTTATACTACTTTGTATGCTCAATTAATCATATGTAAGTTATTTAGCTAAAACTGTACAGTGATCGTACATGTATATTCAGAAAATTTTAAATAAAATAAACATTTTCTGTAAATGTAGTTAATACAGACACCTATGTCAAATTAATGAAAAGCCGATAAATTTATAGTTTTTATGTTCATTCAAGATTTGAAAAATTAGGATCAAATAGCCTTTTCTTTTATTCATTGAATATTGCCTATTCTTGTAAGATTTTGTGAAAGTGACAGAGTCGACGTTTCCTAACTGGTTCAAATGCGCTCGACTCATAATTTTATGTTCTTAAACAACTTCTTTACAATTGTAGTAGTTATGTACAATCTATTATTTAATGATTTATAAACCTATGCAATTTACGTATGGTATAGTATTTGATGTATTCAAGTAAACCTGTTTTGGCAATTATAAGCGCATCATACTACAAAGTTAATTTAATTTAGTTCGTCAAACACATTTATGAGTGTATTAAAAATTCATTTGATGTGATGTTGAAATTAGGCGTCAATAATATAGAGTAAAATCAAAATCATTTTTTCTCAGCAAAATCTTTGGAACTTTTATAACATTCATTTCATCTTATACAAACTTTGAGCTATACATGTTTTTAATATAATGTAGATAATTTTCTGGCTTAATCAACGATTGCAGATATTTTTCAATCAAAAACTCAATACAAGCTGCAGTATCAGTTCAAACGTGTACCAAATCCTTTAAGGAATATAAATCATTGTTTTTGATATTTTTGTTTTGAAAACTGTGAACTATCTATAAAATTATTGTGCACAAATCATCATATCATATAAATATGATGAATTATTCATGAAATTGCATTTTACAAAACTACCTTTTACAGATTACAGAGACATTGCCAATTCACGTATTAAGATATAATAAAATCTTATCGATAACATGTATAGTTCAGAAACTGTGGTGACGTAAAAATTATACGTAATAATGCTTTCACTGTAAAATGTAAAATACAAATATGGTCCAAGTGATACATGATCAATGGCAAGTGGTCGTAACATACCGATTACAGAAACTACAATGAAAATTATCAAAACTTGAGTTTTGAAATTAGAGAAAAATTATTGGAGTTTCTCAGAATATAATTAAGAAGTGTATTTGCCAAGATTTCAAATTTCAAATAAGACATCTGCTGCAAGCACTATTCTAACCCAATATATAAAGAATAAAGTATTTTTATTACTTTACATTTTTTCGACGATATAAATAGCCACTTAGTCAAGTGATAAACCAAACTTGGAAATATTATTCACCGTGTTTTTATATACAAAAACTACATAAAGCAAGAGATTGCGGATATGTAAAGAGAGTATCCACGATTGTCAATCTTGACTAAATTTTAATAGTGTCTGAGTTGAATTTCTAAGTAGTCATGAGCGCACAGAATCATATATGAACGGGAACGTGCACAAGAAGCTCATTTCGGGTTGAAAATACCGCAGAGCACATTTCACATGTGTATAAGACTGCGTCTGGTATAATTGTTTCTGGAACTGATTCTTCGACTGATCTAATTAAATTATGGACAAGCATGCCTTGATGAGCTGATTCAACTGTAACACTTAATTTAACGTTATCAGGAACTTCAGCGTCTTTGATGTGATTTGTTGTATCATAATCTGAAAGTATTGATTCAGGTTCGATATGTTCAGTTTCATCAGCAACTACACTTGCTTCATAAGCAACGTCAAGATTGTTTCCATCAACTGGTGATTCAAACAGTTGCTGTGGTGGTCGATTCGGCGTTACATCTTTAACAGTCACATTGTGCTCTAGGTTCGATTTTAAAAGTATGGAATCTTCATGTTCTACTTCTACATTTTCCAATTGCTCTTCACTCATACTCATATTTGTATTATTTTCCATCAATAGAGCACTTTCTTGAACCATACTTGCACTTGTATTTTTTTGCTCTCTTGCTTTTCTAGCATTAGCCGCACATTGTCTACGTTTGGTTCGTTTCACGGGTCCACGTTTTCTGGGCGAACTAACTTTTGGAGTACTGAAAGAGGCATTTCCAAAATCATGGGATAGCTCACCATTGCTTACTATTTCTTCGTGAACATTATTGTCAGGCTGATTATCCATAAGATTCATCATTTTGTTATAATCTGGTTCCATTTTTACATTAACCATTTCTAGGGGAGGGTGATGCTCTTCTGGTTCAGTAGATATTTGCACTTCAGTTGCTACTGGCGGAGGATGCTCCTCTAATGAAATGGCTTTAGGGGGAAATGTGGCAGCAACAAATGATTGTCTGCCTTCGACATGGTAACTGACATTTTTTGTACGCGGCCGATTTCTTTCACCTGTTAACGATGGTGGTGGTCTAGTAATTATTTGTTGTATCGGCTGTTGTTGAATTGTTTGCATAGGAAGAGACAACATATGGTATTGTGGTTCTTTTGGTGTGCGCATAACCATTGTTTTGGTTTTTTGTCCTTTTTTAACGCCATCTGTTCCTATCTCGACAGGCACACGAGTTTTCTGTGTGTGAATCATTTTGGGACGACCAGCGTGTGAAGATGCAACAGGATCAACAGGTAGCAAAACTGGATTATTATTGCTAACAGCTTTTTGATTTTCTTTCTTTGACTTTTTCTTGGGAGCTTTTGCCTTGGAACTAGATTTGGTACTATTAACAATTGAGTTGAGATTTTGTAGAGAGCTTTCAAAACTCTTGAGGACGTTTTGATAACCTTCTTGAACAGAAGTTTGACGTTTTTCTTGCTTGATTGGTGTCTTTCTTGGGATCTTAGGGCGTTTATTTGCATCATCGAATTCGAATGGAACGTTATCACTAACCGTTTCGAATGTTTCAGTACCATCTTCATTCTTCAGCTTGCGCCTGCGTTTGTACTTGCGAGGACCATTTTGAGGTTGACGCTTTAGAGCTGTAGCTTCATCACAATGTGCTACGATATGAGCAATTATCTCATCATTAGTTGAAAATGTTTCATTGCAAACTTTACATAAATAAGGTTTTAAACTGTTCTGACACTTCGGATCAGGTAGTGAGTGATGAGCTCGCACATGTTCGCGCAAAACAACCTGGAAATAATAATAAATTATTTAAAATACAGGTATTTAAAACAATAAAAAATTATTATTATTTTGTTTGCATACTCTTTGATTAAAAGCTCGAGGACATATCGCACATGCATATGGCTTTTCCCCTGTATGAATCCTTTCGTGTTTTCTTAGCGTACCACCATCAGCAAAGGCTTTCCAACAATATCTGCAACCGTAAGGTCGCTCTCCAGTGTGTATACGAATATGAATTTGTTGAGAGCTTCTGCTTCCAAAAGTTTTCCCGCATTCGCGACAAGGGAATGTACGACCGCCTAGTTCTTTATTATGAGAATGACGATGACTGACAAGTGCACGGCCATCAGGAAATTCTTCGCCGCATTCATCACAAGCTACCATTTTGTTGCGGTGTGACACCATGTGCCTAAATTGGAACAAAAAGAGTATTTAATTAAGATAATTGATACTCACAGAGTAAAAATACTATGTATCGTAAAATATAAATTCATAATAAAAGAAAACATCAAATATATCAAGAAAAAAAAAGGAAAAAATTGAAAATGTATCATTACCTGCGTAATCTGGCTTTACTATGGAAGCGTTTACCACATTTGGTACATCCAAAGGTTTTATCAGTATTGTGAATCCATGAGTGTTTGAGGAGACTTCGTTTATCTTTGCACGTTTTACCGCATTGAACGCATGTGTTTGGCGGAGCATCTTCTGCGTGCATCTGTCGCACATGATCTGCGAGTTCAGTGTCATCTCTACATCTTTCGCCACATAGAAGACATCGTCGGCTAGGAGAACGACTACAAGTATATAATACATTTTATTACATCTTATGTTATACTCTTTTTTTTATTTGGTCTATGTTAACGAACCTTGCATGTGACTCTGCATGAGCTAACAAAGCTAGAGCCTCTTCAAACCATTCCCCACATACATTGCAAACGTGATGTTGTTGTTGTGAGCTATCCATTGTTTCCACTTCTTGTTTAATATGAATTCTACAGTGCAAAGAAAAAATGGTTATTTATGATTCAGGGAAAACTAGTTATGTGCATGGTCAAGGGATAAATGCTTACTTTCTGTGACGTTTTAAAAGATCAAGTCTGTGGAAAGGAATTCCACATGTTTCACAAGTATATTCTCCAAATCCATCATTTTCCTCATATGTTGGTACAGAATCTGGCATTTGTTGTACGAGTTGAATCATACCACCGTTGTGTTTAGTTCGATTATGTTCTTGGAGGGAGTTCATGTCCCAGAACAATTCATTACAGGATATACATTCAAGCGGGCTATCACCACCATGAATACGAGCATGAGATGCTAGAGCTTTTTCCCTAGCAAAACTAATACCACAAGTTTGGCATACATACGGTTTTGTGGAGTCAATGACTGGATAACGTGGCGACAATGGTTGCTGATTTATTCCACTTTGATGGGACCACCTTTATAAAAAAATAATTTATTTAAATCAACTATTTAACAATCTAAATTAAATAAATTTTTATATTCCAACCTAATGGCTGCATCATTAGCTGTGCGCTTAGGAGCTGGAGCTCGGCGCTTTTTAGGGGTAGAGTTAACTTTTTTCTTGCGGCCTTTGGGTGCTTGATTATCTTCATCTTCTGTTGCTAAGGGATCCTCCAATTCATCCTCTAAACCAGTTCTCAAAGGAGCATAAGCATGAGTTTTCAAATGATTGTTTAAATCAGTTTTTTTTGGAAATTTCATTCCACATAAATTACAAGATTGAAGGCGATCATTTTGATGTGTCAACATGTGAGCCAGATAGTTTGCTTTCTTTCTGAATCGTTTGCTACAAAAATCACAAGGATGTGGTCTAGTATTTGTATAAGAGTCTTGATCAATGGGTAAGGGAATTTCCATATCATCATATTCCATCAAATTTTCATGAGGAACTTTTGTTTCTGGAACATCCATTCTGTAAATTGAATTTGAAAATAAAATATACATTGCAAATCTAAAAAATTTTAGTTTTTTGTTGAGAATAATTTACCCATCATTTGGTTCTGTTCGATCCCAGTTATGAGTGATAACTTCTTCTTCTGTAACTTGAATGTTCAAGTAGTCATGACCTTGGTCTTGAGGTATAACGTAGATAGATTCAATATCTGAAGTTTGAGGATCCATCATAATCTCTGAGTCTGTAATGTGGCTATTGTGTTGTACAGAATTATCTTGCACTGTTTCTTCAGCAGTTACTTCTTCACATGCACCAACCACTTCTTCTACTGGGGCATCTAATTCTGCCTCCAGACCACATATTACTTCCTCGTGTATTACATTTCCAACTTCCTCAACCCATTGAAGGGTGAGATCGCCACCAACATCCATGATTGATTATTATTAATCGCTTTTTATCATATTACGAACTGAAACAAAAATAGATTGTTAATGTTTCTGAGCAAATTAAATGTAGAAGAGGTCGAAAAAAATGTACTATCTGTTAGCATACTATCGAAAAAAATTAACACGTTCAATAAACAAAACACAATCATCAATAACCATCGCGACCATCAACGAACATACCGAAGCACTGAAACAAAAGCGCGGGGGGCTACATCACACTAGCTAGGCGCTCGTCACTTACTGCGTTTAATAACTAAGTTCACTGAGCGAGTGCATTGAGCATTCCTCGAGAGGTTTTTCCTTATATCAATGAAAGGAGTCAAAGCGAACCGATGACAATTTGGCTTTATTTATTTAGGTTATGAGCCTGTAAATATAACTAAAGAGAAATCGCCGCAGAAAGCCGTCAACACATAACAAAACACATACATACACTCAGTCACCCTTACAAGCGCTAGCTCAACTTATACCGTGTATGCACGCATAACACACGATATTGCAGTTTTGCCGCTACGCAGCATGCATGAAGTAAATCGTATACTTTGTACAGCACATACGGCGCGATCGAAACAGAGGCATATGCCTTGCAACATGTAAACTAATGCAAGCGTTGCATAACACTGCATTAATATCCACTCCTGCATTTTGCGCGATAAATGCGAATGGAAAAAGACTATGTGTGCTCGGGATGAAGGCAGCCAGGTATTTACATCGGAGAAACAAGAGAGAAACACGAAGTAAGGGTCTAAATTTTTAGTCATCATTATAGACATGCTAACTTCTAGCAAAGCGAAATATCACCCGCTCGCGCCGATAAACGCACATACGATTAAAAATACAATCTTAGAGACGTTCACTAAAATGGAAGGTACAGTCGCACGAAATCACAAATATAAATTAATATATTATACGATCATGCACTCACACGTAGGATCAATTACGCATATATTTGCGTTTCGCGTTAATGATTTCATCCGCGCGATTTGCCGCGCCGTCAAGACAGAGCGTCGGCGGCGTAACAATGCTTTGCACTTTTGCGTCCGTACGGTTTATACCCTATTGAATTGTTGTTTGCTCATACGCTACTAATACACTAGCAGCGAGCGCGGAATATCGGGCCCCTTAACAGCGAACGCGCGCACGCCCGCGCGTCAATGTGTGCCTGCCTGTGCGTGCGCTATAGCACATAACGTGTGTTAGTGAGCGTGTTATGGCGCGGTCGAACATATAGAGCCTCAATTACGATCGCGCGCACTACGCAGAGTGCTGGCATTAATATCGGATTCACGACGAAATTGATGCGCTGGCTCGATTTGGACTTTATTTAGTACGGAAAACTACACTCGAAGCTATCGATGCAAGATCGAGTCGCGGTAATAAAATCACACCGGTGCAAGAGATTTGACGTTGCACCGCAATACGCGCAAGGTTATATTTACACACTGCAATTGAGACGATCGCATCGACCCGAGGACGATTGAACGGGAAAATATGATAATGGAAACACACACGAACCAACACTCGTGCACCGTATGTCTGTAGCCACGATGAAAAGACGAAAAATGCCGCTCACGCCGCAGGCCGGGGACACACGTTCACGCACGCACGACTGCTGTAAATCCAACGAAACGCACTTTCTTGTTATCAATCGCCCCTGCATCCGATAGTGCGAGTCTTGTTTATTATAGTAAACTATATCGATTGATTACAAGTGGCCACTACTTTATAAATAAAAATACATCGAAGCATACACAACCTCGTAAAAGTTTTTTGGAAAAATAGCTTGGGCCGAAACCGCCGCTGGCGTAAATGATGCTCCGCTCTGCCGTCGCTGATGAGAACGTCCTCTTTCTCTTGCACACAAGATGGCGGACGCGCGATACACTATTCTCCACTGTCCCGACTACACTCACACTGTCACTACGGCTCGAAGCTCTTTGGTTAGCTACTCGCTCATTGAGCTGCAGTCAGCGAGATCACCGCTACAGTACTATTTAGGCTATGGGCGCTATGGTAAGAGTTTACCGACTGGCGACTCAGATTGATGCGGACGTTTTATGGTGCGCACTATAGCCTGTACTCGGTAGGCGGCTGCGTCACCGCCACGTTCCAACTAACCTATAATAATCGAGCGCGCTTGTCTAGCAGCTATAGCCTATAGCATAGCTTTGCAACTCCCAAGTCCCAACCGCCGCTCGCTCCGCCATACTCATAGTCCTAATAGGTTACGCTGCTTACGCATTAAACACAGCCAGTGACTGCATGCGTGCCATGTACAGGTGTTTGTGACTAGTCACTGGCGTCAGAGTTCCACAGAATTCGCTACGGTGCTTGTGGCAGGCAACTGGCAGTTATCTCTGACAAGGACAAGGGACGTTATGGCAGTTTTGTGCGCCACTTCGATTGGACGATTTCAAATCTAACATAACCCGATTCTGTGCATAAACACTCGCGAGTTGCGGGAGTCGTTATTAGTTTTGTCTACCTTATTTTCTATTTTATTTTACTTGTAATTTTGACAGTTCGTGTGTACATCTTATACATTTGAGTCGAATATCGTCTAAATATTGCAATAATCATCGTCAAATTTGATTCTGAGTTGTGCCAGAATGATGTGACCGAAGAAAAACTAACGAGAAATTTTTATTGTATGTAACATAAATTATTCTCAATGCTTTATACACTTTCTCGAATAACAAAATGTATGTCCTTTAAAATTAAGTAAATAATTGATCGTCCATAAATGTATCATTCGTTTTTTCTACAAAATTCAATGAAATTTAATTTTTGAGCAATTATTTTTTTACATCTTCTAACGGTCATTTTCTGATGCACCGTTGATGCGTAATTTGATATTTTAATTTGCTCTCGATATTGTAGGTGGCATCTCGTTCCCGTCATTCCGTTTTTTAATATTCAAATCAATTTTTCAAATAAGCAGGTGACATACGCGAAAGTAAAACATCTGTCATTTTTAGCGCGTTTTTGAAAAAAAAAGAAATCTTGCAAATCTAATTACGGAGCGAAGCCTGCCTTACTAACATCTCGAGCATCCTGCGAGCCGAAAATCCAAAAATTATTCTTCTTCGAAAAATTGTCAATTTTTTTTTAATTTTGCAGGTGCATTGCTATTAAAAAAGTCATAAAATGGCTTTGAATAAAAGTCTGAAACATACTCCAAGCTCTCGATGTAGCTACTTCAGTGATATTACGGCTTCAACTGTAAGCTTCATTACTCAGTAATATACTCATTTTTCTTACTTGTCTTTTCATTATTCTACATTTTTAGGGCAAGCAGACGAGTTTTCTAGTTCCTGTCAGAATTAAAGTAAACCAGACTCCTAGTCAAGGCCCCTTATCATGCGAAAAAAAAAATCGTGAGTTGAACGTAAAAAGTATTTTAATAGAGAGTTACAGAGAAGAAAACTTAATTCTTATATTCTTTCAGCTTCTAAAATGCTTCAACCAGTTTTAATAAAAAATTTGTTTCAAAGCACTCAAAAAGAAAAACAAAATACAGCACTTACATCAGGTATATTGATTTTTTAACTTTTATACATTTTTTGCTGCATTATTGCTGGTATGATTGTATATTATTATTCTTTTATCTAGCTTCAACGCAAAAGAAAAGGAGGCAAACTCAAAGGCAGACTCAGGCATTTTTAAACACTCAAAGTTGTCACAAACCAAAGCCCGATGAAAGTAAGTAAATATTTTCATTGAATACTTTCCTAGATATTTTTTAATTTAGGAAATAATCTTTTATCAATACTTAAGCACAAGAATCATCATTCTTTTCTCGAAAATCACAAGGTGGGACAAAGGTGCGAAGACAATTGTATCAAAATTTGGATTCTCCTAAAGAATCGGATTGCAAAGAAAACACAATCAAACCAGTTCGAATAAAAACAAGGACACATAAGCAATCAGAAGTACCCGCTGCAAGAAAAAGTATTGCTGCTGTCCAAAACAAAAATAGAACAAGTTTACTTTTACCTCCAAATAGTATTAAAAATACTATCATCAATAATTCCGGATCTAAATTTAAAGCACCTATTAGTAGACAAATTCCCAAAAATAATTCCACAATAAATAGAAATACTGAAAGCATTGTAAATGCTTCTGAAGCACAATCGTCACAAAGGAATGAGACTTTAACTAATTCAGTAAAAGCAGTTGAGGAAATAGAAATGGAGTTAGATATAAAAGAAAACTCCGCTACATCCTCTCAAATGAGTAAGACATTCATGAGCAAAAGTCTAAATAATTTAAATCAATTTGGTAGACCAACAGTGATAATCAATGGATTAAAAACTAATTTGGTAAATGACGGAGACCCCCTTAGTTTGGGTTTAAAAAATTTGACTATGCAAGATCCAAGCTGCTCTTGCAATTGTAAAAAATCAGAGACTTCATCAAATAAATTTGATCTTTTAAAACTAAATGATTTAAGTGAAGGTACTAAAAAACAGTTTGTATCTCATCTTGAGTCATCCATTAAAGCATGCAAAGAACAATCATCTATGTTAAGACAATCTTTGGAAATATGTGAAAATCAACGTACATCTTTGGAAGAAATATTAAAATTTATCACTAATATAAGCACTTCATCGCTGCTTGCGAGTGATAAATTTCAGGGTAATAATGATTCAACAAACAATTTAAATTCTAGTTCAACAATTATTACTGATGTTAATTTATCTCATCCTGACGAATTGAGCAAGTGTGAATCAACCAAACTTATTCCATCAATTAATGCCGATGAATCAAATACCTTGTTCAGCAATTGTAATGAAAAACAAAGCAGTAGCATCAATGAAACAGCTACTCTTGTACCAAAGGTCATTCAAGATCTTGAAAATAAGCCAGCTACTGAAGAAATTGAAAATGCATCAAAGATACCAGTTTTTCCTGCTAAAATTTTGGTATCTGATTTTAATCAGGAATCCAAAGATACAACTATGGAATTATCAGATGAAATAGTTCGGTTATCTACCATTGGTGAAGTGTCTTATGAAGTTGATCTATCAGAAAAAGATGATGCCTCAAACAAAGAAAATTTCAACATTTATCATGATTCATCCAATCAATCTATAGGATTAAAAACACCCAAAACTCCAAGGCGTAAATCAAGTTTAAATATATATAGAGATTCACCAAGGCGATCTTCTAGATTAGCAGAAAAACGTAGGTCTCTTTCTTTACAAGAACAAAGTTATTCTAAAGAAGATAGTTTTGAAAAGTTGGAAAATGAATTGAATGTAGAAGTACGTCCTAAGTACAATTCAATATCATCCAAATCGCTTCCTGCATCACCTATGAAAGGTTCTACAACTCCCATGCAATGGGATAAAAGAGTTGAGAAACCACTCCAAGAATACATGGCTATGAAAATGAATGGAACATTTCTTGTAACTCCAGATGTGAAAAGATTTCAATCGTTTTTAGACCCTAGTGATACCCCTCAACATTCTAGAAAATCTTTATCAAGAAAAATTTTCATGGAATTATGTGATTTATATGCAGAATCACCAGAATCTAAATAGAGGGTTGTCATTAATAAATTTCTAGAAAAAATTGTATCGAAAATTGCCTTTCATGAATTAATCAAAGATTAAAGAAAGTTTTATATGCTGGCTAAGTTAGTTTTCAATCATCCTAATTAATTGATTGAATCATTTGATCAGGTTCGAATTCTCAATTATCTTCTTTTTGCTTGTTGAATAAGATATTTTTATAAAGATGTAAATAATTTTGTATTAATGGTAGAAATTTGAGTCGATTTTATAATAAATAATAATATGTGTATAAGGAATTTATAAAAAAAAATAAACCATATTTAAATAAACATTTAAAATTTTATTAAAAAATTATTTCAACACTTATTCGCTTACTTCACTTGAGTCACCATTAAAACTATCATCGGTGTCTAGTTCGTCACTATCATCGTCACTGTCTGGTTCAGCACTTTTTTTTATTACTTTTTTATTATTTTTAATTTTTTTATTTATTGAAGCACCATTACAGACAATATCTTCAATGCACTTCCTTTTTTTAGGTTTTTGCAGTTCCAGATCTTCAAAGATATCATCATCGTCATCATCATCATCTGAGACAGTAACTTCTTTTTTTATTTGAGGTTTTTCTGAAGAAAACTGGGCCCTTAGAACCATTGCAGATAACTTTGATTTTAGATTACACTTTTTGAGCAGTGCTTTGGTTTTTATATTATGAACGTAAAGGTATCGATCATAACTAATGCTAACAACTTCCAAGTTAGTAGCTGCAATAGCAGTAATTGCTCCAGCAGGTCCTTTATAAGTATTTAAAATTTTTCCAGGTTTGCGCAAATCTATAAGATTCATTCTTCCTTTACCTGTACCAACGATAATATGTTTATCTTCGTGAGTACAAGTTGCCAAAGCTTTTATTGCTATATCATCACCATTCATTTGAATGTTTACAACTGGTCTTCTTTGTGCTTTGATATCATACAACCGAATATGCCCGTACTTGCCAGCAGTAGCTATATGCTCACTGTTGTTTATAAAACCTATATCATTAATTCCGATTTCTACTTTCAGTTGTGTCAATTGGTCGTTTGGAACATTTTTCGCAGTGAAAATTTGAGTTTGCCTTTCAATGTCGAAGAGCTTCAAGGGATTTTCATCTCCACCTGTTGCAATGATGTTTTCTTGCATAAATGCCCTTCTCATTCTGTTTAAATTTTTACCTGCTTCGAGCACAAATTCTTCATCTCCACAGTGATTCCATAATTTGATATGTCCAGACTCAGCAGCTGTAAGCACTTGTTCATTATATTTAGCTAAACCTCTGATGGCACCCAAACCAACATCGGCGACGAATAACGTTCTTAACGAATGATTTTCCGTATCATAGATTTTGACGCTACGAACATTGTTTTTTCCACATCCTATAAGAATATTTTGTTCGTTTAGATTTTCCCATTCCATGCAAGATACCTCCCCGTGGTTGTCGTTCGAGGCTGGATTTTGGATTGTCTTGACAATGTTAGTTGTTGAAGATATATTAACTCCATGGATGAACCCCGTTGTTCCGCCGACAATGACGTCGAAATCTTTGGCTGACATTTTTGATACTTTTATTTCACAATTTTGCAAGAAATACACTTATAAGTAGATATATACACAATAAAAAAAGTCGAAGCTTATTACTTCAGAACGACGTTAATAGTCTCGATCAACTGAACGCCGGACCACGTGTTTTGAGTAAGTATAGGAGTCGCAGTGCAGACTGCAGAGGGGGAAGAGTCTTGTTGTGAAAACTGAAAACTGAAAAGGCTAGGCAAAAGTGTTCGGCGCCTGCGCATTGACTAGAGCAGAACTATGGAACATGTCGCCAAATGCCAAACTTTCTAGACTTCGATTAGGTGTCTAGATCAAGTTACCAAGGGTGATAATTATGCAAAGAAAAATCTGACTTCCTCAAACAAAGCATCCCCGAGTTTAACCTTGGACCAAGTGCCCCGAGCGAGGAACTTGAAGTGATTTTCTAATGAAAAACATCTTTCATCCACTAGCGATTCAAACAAGCGCGCTAATATTAAGGTTGGCAATGAACACTTTTGCCTAGCCTTTTAGGGTGAAAAGTTTATTTTCATATAAACATTCGTAATCGTAACATAAAATTTTAAAGTTTTTATAAGTATAAAAGAACTAATTTTTTAATTTAATTAAAATAAATAACTAATACTACATCTGGAAAGTACAATTTTTACTAATCAGTGCATTTAATTACAAAGAAAACTAAGCATGCATACTTAATTATTTAAAAAATTCACAAGCGGAGTTAATTTGCTTACTTAAAATTGCTTTATATTACTTAATTAATTTAGGTAACACTCATATTTTTTTCATGTGGTTGTGGCTCCTTAGAACTCGCCACTGCAAGTGCTGAATAATTTTTATTGACTTTTTATTACCCCAGAGGTTGTCGATACAAGCGTAGGAAATTTTAAAATATAAATTTAATAACCAATTTGATCAATTAATTTCAGAACAATTTAAAGAAAATATCTTCAATGTATTAAAAACTATATGTCTATATTATAGACAAAAAGCATGTATTATAAAAGTATGTATACAAGACTTTCTTCATCTGGACAAACCAGACCATTAGTAATATTTTAATTATTATTTTTGTGATCAATGTTAAAAATGAATAAGAGGAAATCTAATACCTGAGCCACAGATGAAATAAACGGAATATTATAGAATTTCATCATGATTATACTAACATTATGGGTTTGATTATTGTTGAAAGTTAACTCATAATATCATAATGTAATATTTTCTCATTTATTAAAATGAAAAATAAGGATTTACAACAAAATCATGCAAAAAAGAAATTGAAGCTGTAAAATGAACCATTTTTTTTAAATTTCACGAGAATGTATTTTAGAGAAATCTTTGTGTACATGTATTCATAAATTATATGCATTTTTAACAATCAAATTTAACTTCAAGTGATTCCAATTTTGATCAACACTAGTTCATTCCTAGAAATTGTATTCATATTAGTATTAAAAAATAATAACAATTTTTATGTAATACAAACAGACTATGAGCGGACATGATGAACAATATGCAAAATTGAACTTGACATTGAGTAAAGCTTAATTCATCAATATAAAAATATTTGTAAAAAGTATATATACATTTGAGCTCATTTTGCAGTATGAAAATATTTAATAGTTACATTTTAATAAAAAAATAATAATTTTATTGATCTTTTTTACATATTTGCATTTTTAGAATTACCCAGGCAGCCTTTGTCAAGATTCTTGAAAAAAATGTCAAAATAAAGTTATGCTTTTTTGTGATTTGTCAAGTTACAACATGATTATTCTCCAAAAATGGAGTGCTTGTGTCAAAAAAAAATGTGTTTTCTATCAACGTTGTTTTTAATAGGAAACAACTACAACCCAAATCTTCATTTGATTCATTTTAAGTACAATGTACAACATAAACTTCAAAAAATTGAAGCTTACACAGGTGCAAAGTCCGGTTTACCCTCATACGTACAGCCAGATCTTTGGATTATTTTAGTGGCAGCCCAGATACCGCATTTTATACATACTTCTAAGCTATGATCTTGAATATATTGAGCAAGAAAACCTGTTTGATAAAAATTATAAAACATTGCATGAGAATTCAAAAAATTGTAATTTTATTTTGAGACAAATTCTATTTTTATTACCTCCAACGAAGGCATCTCCAGCACCATTGGTATCAATTACTTTTTCTTCTGGTAATTTGACTGCAGGGAATTCTGTAACAGCACCATCTTTGACCAATAAAACAGGATGAGCACCTTGAGTAATAATGACAATCCTTTTTCTCTTAGTATTTATTTTTTCCATGTTTGAAATTTTAAGTCCTATTTCTTTCAAATCTGTTGTTCCCAAATCATTAGCTTTTGAAAAAGCTTCAGCTTCTGTTTCATTTCCAAATAAAATGTCAACATAGGGTAGAGCTGCTCTCATGGGTTTTTTAAAGAACTCACATAAAAATGGAGCACTCAAATTCATTGCAAATACTTTGTTGTTTTCAAAAGCATGTTGTGCTACACTTTGTATCGTTTCTGGACTAACTGTCAAGAAAAATCCCTAAAAAAAGTTGTGAAAATCAATTATCATCACAAAAATTAATAATCTTACAAAAATGAAGAGTATTTACAGAAACATAAAAATATTGAGCATCATCAATTAGTTTTCTATTTTCTGGAACTTCTATGTGAGCAGGTGAGAAACAATTAGCTGCTGCCAAGTTTGCACAAAGTGACCGATGTTTTCCATTGTCTGTGATCAACACAGCGCAGGTTCCTGTGCATTCCTGATCAGTATATTGATATTTCACATTCAAACCACTTTCTCTAGCTTTTTCTTCCAAGATTTTTGAATATTTATCTTTTCCAACGCATCCCATATAAATTGCCACTTTAGGTTTTTCCAAAAGCCACTGTATAAACAAAGACATTTATATTTAAAAAATAAACTTTTTTTTAAGAATACTTAGTTAATTAATCAAATTATAAAAGAAAAATTGAAATTTTTTTTCCAGTGGAGTCAATCTCTCACAAATAAAAAGACTCAATAGAATTTATTAATTAACATAGAAACCTTGATCTTAGGTAAATAATAAAAAATATTTACTTGGGCAACTCTCATTGTATTTTGAACAGAACCTCCAGCAATGAATTCTGCATTGTACTGTTCAATGAGCTCATCATACAATGGTTTATGCTCTTCATTGGCCAAAATTGCATCATTGGCTTTCAAATTATACTTTTTCAGGAAGTCTTCATCTACTGCTGCAGAGATGTCCAAAAGAGGATTACCAATACCAACAACTAGTCCTTCTCTGTAACATTTATGACATAAATAAAATCAAATGACCATGAGGAATTCGTTGCCAAACATCCAAGAGATAAAAAAATTATCTCTATTCTAAAGCAAATATTTGAAAAACAAACAAGTTATCATGCGAAGATTATTAGTACTCCGCGAGGGCCGCACACTTCCAGTTCTGTTAGAAAATAATTTTTAAAACTGGATAAAATCATTTGGCGCAATAAACGTTGTATACATTGCATAACGAGATCTATTCATCCGTCCTTCGGTAATACGATCGTATATAATTTATGCACATCTCGTCAAAGCACGCACGTGTGTTAGTGCCACACACACACACACATAATGTATGTATGTGTGGGTACACTTCTTTGCAACGCATTAAGATAAGTAACGAGCTTTCGCGGCACGAAGCGAGATTATTAGGAGTTGGAAAATTAAGGATGGATATTGGAAAAAGAAAATGAGGAAATATCTCGCCTTAAATTGTAGATGCTAGCTGGATGACAACACGCCGGATTGTTTACGCTCCTTCTTAGAATGATAATGCAACTGGACGTGAGATTCAATAACTCGGCCAGACGTTTGCTCCGACTCATTTAAATGCACACATAACCTCGCTACATGCGTGTATGAACGTTTTTGCTCTTCCGATTGTTTTTCTTGCAAAGGCATCGCACGTAATAACAATTGTAGCGATCGTCGATTTCGCGGAAAACCTGGTTGGAACTCACCTTAGTTCTTTTGCCATTTCTAATGAGCTTGACACTTGACCGGTGCTTAAGAATGAAAAGTCCGAAGATTTATGTGTTGTGGCAAGTTGCAGACGAGATAAGGCCTCGTGGAGTTTTCGTTGTTTCTGCTCTGTCTGCGGCGCTCGTGAGAATACCCGCCAATTAAGAGTGTAACGCGTGCGTAACATCAGCAGTCAGCACCGACAGAAGCAGAGCAACCAGTGAGAAAAATATTCGCTGCGCGCGTGCAGCTCGCATATACTATGACATATGTGTACGAACGGAAAAGATATTTTTGTCGTCTGCCTTGTACCACACACTGGTAATGAATCAACAATTCATGCATGCATTGTATGTATGCAGCAGATAAACGCGTTGTAACAATCTCGTTTGGTTACGTCTACTTACATACACAGGTTCGCGTATGTATGCACATTAACGAATTGGCAATCCAGTATAGAGGATCACGTGAGCTCTCCCGTGGATTAAATGACGCCGACGCCGCGATAAAAGTGTTTAGTAATTTTTCTTTTTTTTTTTTTTTTTGCAAACATATGTCTTGCGTCTTGAATAACAGCTCGAAAAAAATTATTTTGCGTTTATTCCTGCTTCAAGCCAAGTTTTGTTTTTGGAAGAGTACAAAATTAATTTTTTCGAGAATTTTTGTGTAAAAGTAAAAAATTTTTTATTCATATATCATCATCAATATACATTAGTCGATATTATTACGTAAAAGTTTTTTTCTCTCTCTCTCTCTTTCTCTCTTGTTCTCAGATTCTCAGATTCTTACATACATCACACACATTCACTGAATCATAAATTATTTATACTGAAATAGTAGCATCTTGTGTATTCAGATTTCACTGGGGAGTCGGGCCAGGTGGTGGTGGCGGTGGTGGCATCGGCATTCTATACATCATGCTGAAAATCATAAAAAAGAACTTTCATTAAAAACCTGGCTCCTTACAAAATGCTTAAAATATCACATCAAATAATGGGAAAAAATTCAAATGTTATTATTAAATTATTGATCGAATTCGGTATCGTGACGCAGTTCACCTGGACATCAAAGACCAATCGAAAAAAGTTTAAAAAAATAAAAAAATAAAAATAAATTAAAAAAATTCTTTTTTGCCTTCTTTTCATTCAGGCTGTGATCGTATAAGCAATTTGTTAGCAAACACGTCGATCTTTTTTTACGAAAATCTCGCGCCAATGACGAAGAAAAAAAGCGCAATAATGAAACGAAAACACACGCAAAACAAATGGCCATGATAATGAGCGCCGATCTAACTACTTTATCAAACTACCTGTATGAGAGCACCGGTGAGTTTGCTTATTGCGTGTATGTGTGTCTTCGGTCATCTTCGAAAAGCCCAAAGAATCAATAATCCAGGCTATCAACAGAAATCCTCATGAATAGTTGACAGCAAATTGTTCCCTTTCTCCCTCATTTCCAGCACCATCAGTTTAATTATATTCAATAATCCAATTTATATCTGATTGAATGTTTTATTTATACAATCAGCCATTTTGAGGGTCGACCAATCTGCTCCTATACAGCATATGCAGCATATACACATAAATTACATTAGAGTGTGCAATTTTCGAATTAGTCAAGATAGTTGCGAATCTGATTCGATAAAATCATCGCTCTATTATGAATAATAATTATTATGCATTTACGTGCTCCGAGATAAAAGTATATATTATATATATATATATAATATATTGCAAATGATGTTTCAGTTGAACGATTTTAATTGAAGGTGTCAAATACATATATATTCACACATGAAAGAGGAGTCATGATTTGAAAAATTATAGATTAAAATGGACTTATTTGGTTTACATAAATATTAAAGGCTTTGGCTATTATCAGTCAGAGAGAAATTTCAATGTAGCTGGTAATCGATGAACTTGTTATATGGATGGAAATTAGTTAACTTTTACCCCGTGCACACGTGGAACGAAAAAAAAGAATGTGGCTAAATCATCACGGCGACCAATGGGCTACTACAGACATAATTGCTAAAGAAAATAGTATTGTAGTACATGATCACGTCATTTGTATGATTTCGTCGACGTTTAGTTCTTTTGCATTTTGAATACCACTATTACGTACGTACACGTTGGATGGGCGCCGTTGTGGATCACACCACAGCTTAATCGTTATCGTGTATTAAAGGCATATTTTTCGAAAAAAATGTATGAATATCTACAATGAATGAGGCGAAACATTGGGTTTAGCCGGTGGTTTCGACACGCAGTGCACGTCGCGCGAGTCGTTGGGCGTTGAGCGACGACGATGACGACCACGACGACGACGTAGGAGACGGCGGCCGACGTTGAATAATCGAAGGTAGAGACGACGCGCTTCTTCCCAAGTGCGAGTTTTTATAGGCGTTTCTATAGACTAAATAATAGTGTTAATTGCTTACATTCATTATATTGCATCATTTACCATCTATCAAGTCATGAAACTCAAGTTATTGATTTGAAATAATAAACGTAATCAAAAGGAGAAGAAAATAGCAAGACAACTACGTAAATAATTTAGTAAAATCACTGCATCTTTAGAAATTTGAAGATAGAGTAAACCGAAAAATCAAAATTTTTAAATTTTTAAATTGGCCTAAAATATAAGAACCTATAGCAAGAACAACTATATATTCAATGCTTGGAATTACCTGTAAAATGTTCCGTTAATATCCGAATTGAGCCTCGACGGAGCTAATATGATCCGTTTACTCCTCAGTTATCACGAGTTGATCGATACGAGGAATGTTATATGCATCGATAAACGTCATTATTATTTGAAAGAAAATCGTCAACTTTTTTGATTGGCTTTAGATAAAAAGCGATTTAACGTTTCAATAAAACGTCTTCGATTCATAATTTCAAAGATCTTGAATGGTTCAAATAATAAAGGTAAGCCATTCATTAAACGAAAAAAATACAGTTAAAAAAAGAAAATGGATCATCAATGAAATAATTCCATAAAATGTTCAAACGGTTTTTCAGGTTTACGATAGCATTAAAAAAAACACGATCTTTGGATTATCTTTAATTATCTTAGTCCTTTATTAAAAATTAATTGAGAAGTATATTATAGATTATGATACTTTCTAAGGTATAAAAAGGTATGATGAAATCGGTCACATGTTTGCTTACGCATGTAATGCATTTTTTTTTTCGTGTTATCAATCACTTTTTCTCTAGCTCGCACGTTCCGGATTAAATGCACGGCATTTGTTCTCTAATACGGTTTGTAATCCACACCTGGATAAGAGACAAGCGACTTATTCGCGCCGTACCCACCGTGCGAAACGCCCATGTTGTCCGAGGAACCCATATTTCTGCAAAAATCAGTCACGAAACGATCTTTTAAAAATAGAGAATTAAAAATCGACCATTTGGTTTTGTCGTTGCTAATAGCAAGAAAAAAAAATTCGACACGTAATATATATCCACCTTGAAATCATAAACTATAACTTTTATACGCAATTATCATGTCCAATAAGAAATCATAATGACTAATAAATATATTATATATAAATTTTCTAAGCATGAAACGGCATAACTACGATTATTAGTTAGCAAAGTGTATACTGACAGAAGAAAATAAATGTTACCGTCGAAAACATGCCTAAGGTTGAATTGTAAATTTTTTAATTTTACAGCTAATACAATTTTCTCAAATTAAAATTTGCTTGCTCCTGTTAAGATTTTTTGTTTACAGTGCAACCTTATTTTCGACATTTTATCCGATTCACCTTTAGAAAAGTAATAGGCAACGAAATAAAAACATGAAAATTTATACACGTAAAATAAAGTGTAACACAACGTATTTATCATTGTGTTATCACTTATATTCGCAAACAAATAATACATGGAAAAAAAGAATTAAGAGAAGAAAAAAATAGTAAGGACTTTTCATATGAAAATGCTGAAATCCCCTATAAACTTTGACTATGGTGTACTTCTTTGAGCATTAATAAGTGAAAAAAAGTAGACATTTTCAAAGTAATTCGTCGCCAAGAGATCAACGGTAAGCAACGCTTGGTAATACGCAATTGAAGAGTGCGGAAAAGCACCCATGTAGTCAAGCATCTATTTTTAATAATCTACTACCTTGCTAATATACATTATGTTAAAGCGAAGCATTGATACATTTTTAAACAGCGATAATGTCTTCATTTTAAGGCAGTTTACTGCTCATCTATGCAAGACATTTTCATCGAAAAAAAGTTTCCTTCATTTTCTCTAAAATTTAAAATTGTTCTAGTTCGTTCAATGGGCGCTCAATAAATGATGAAAATGGTTGTTAATAATGATAGGGTTCAATGCAAGGTAATTCAAGGTATAGGATTGGCATTGTGTAATGGTACAGAGCAGATCAAAGAGTAAAATGATAATGATGAAAAAACATTCACGTTTGACTGTTTATGATGAAATCCACAAGTATTACATGTTTCAGTACACAGATTTCTTTATTCATTTTATTTTAAATAAACAATTACGAGGAAGAAAAGGATTACTATCGCATCGTAATATATACTTAGCATATATTTCTATAGATAGAGTGAAAAAACACGACGAACCATACAAAAGTCATTATTTTTTTTGTTAATGACATCCGAGCAAAAATTCAGCTGCTGCGCTGCGCGTATCGTAACATTTTACTTAATCATTAATTGCTGTTTTTATACTGTAATCGCATATTATTAATTCTTGCTTCGAGTACGGATAATCCTAATCTACATGCTAACCTTAAATTAATTTCATTTTTTTCATCATTTAATTGTTTAAGATACAGCTAATCCATTCTGGCTTTCGTTCAAACTAGACATAACGTTACGTACAGGAGAAAAAACTATTGAAAAAATCTAGCTGTTTAACGAAATTCAACTTTCAAATCGATTAACCAGCTAATGACTAATCAAATGATTAAAATTTTGACACATTACTTCAACAGCTGAGCGATTAAAATGGGCGCAATTTACAATCATTTAGAGATTGAATTTGCCCTTCTACAACATTGATCGATAGGCTATCACATACAAAAAAAAACAGTGTACGAGAACTTCAGCCGAATAGTTAATTAATTTCGTTTTTTGAGTAATAACATAGTACACGCATAGTCCGACCGTTAAAAACTCATGATTTTCATAATTCATCATAATTTTTGAAAGTGTCTCGTTCAAATTCATTTTTACAACTATTCTTGTAAGTTAATTTATCCAAGGTAAGTGAATTTAGTCAGTAAGGTTACGTATTGTAACGTTACAAAGTTTATTGATAAGTCACTTTTAATTCATTTCATTATTCAAAACCTATCGGTTCGCAATTTTGATACTAAATTCCGGAGTAAATGCTACATTAAAAATCATTGGTAGAATAAATAAATCTGCTAAATTAGTTTTAATCAATTAAATTGGACTTGAAAAAATGACTATAAAAAAGGAAAACTTTCGTAACATCGACAATAAGATTCACGCGTATAGTCATGAATTTGTCTACATGTTTCGATCATTTTTATCTAATATAATATGAATAAAAAGAGGGAAAAAATATCAATGATTCATATTGGAACATCAACTCCGCTAGTCCGCTTGAACACCCTGGCCTTCATGAAAAAAAGTTCACACAAAAACGAGAAAGCTGGCACTATAGCAAAGGAGATCATTGTGAGACATGGCTTTTTCGTTACCCATATAGAGTACTAATTGCTCGTCTGACACAAGAACTCTCTTTTTCATCATCATTATCAATAATAATCGTAATCATTAATCTTTCCGCGATTTTATAAGCAGCACTGGCTCGTCACATTATGATACCTACAAATGCACACATATATTCGTAATAAATATATATATTTATATAGATTTATACATATAATATTTTATATGCATAAAACAATGGCGAGACATTGATGAGAGCTGATGTTCTCGATTCTCATATTTGCACACTCGAATAAACATCATCATTTTTTTTTTCAACGACGCGCTATTTGTTTGCAATGACAGATTCAAATCTCGCCATTTTCTCATACAAAATGTGTAAATTGAAATTGTGTGTTGATCAAATTTAGGGCAATACTACATACACGACGTCGCCATTTGAGTACAATTATTAATAATCATAAACCATGAATGTTAAATACCATAATTCACCTAAATATTGAATAATATAAGGTGAATGGGTAAATATTGCGTGTGTGGGTATTGAGTTAAACTCGAAATAACCGTATAATTCCATGTCGTCGGGAAAAGAAGTGCTACGTAGTGTTTGTCCTTGTTTTATAGATAACAATATTAATGCAGATTAAGATTAGCGATTAATTATATGGTAAAGTATTGAGCTTGTGGCGTCGATATCTCCGATCTACGGCTGCCCGGTCATTGCAAGAGTCACACCCGATTGAGATAAATAGAAGGAATCCCCGAGATCATCAAGCTCCCGTGTCAAGACGTGTCTGATTGTTATTTACGTCCCTTCCGAGAGGTATTGCTCGTGCGTTCTGCGGCCGGCGGCAGTGACGACGACAGCGACGACGCTCGCGCTTCTCGAGAATGTGACAAATGCACAAACACGGCGAGGCGAGCGAGCAATTGCATTGCGTGCGGGCGGCCGGCGACGAAGGAGAGGCGACGACGACGACGTAGTGTTTTCGTGCGGAGGTATGTTGTCCGCGACGAAGGCTCAGCGGCTCAGCGGCGTCACAGGGAGATAGATTTAGTATGGTGCGAACCGGCGCGACGGCGATGGCCCTCGGATTCCCGGTCTGGTAAAAGCAGAATCACAAAGAAAACATGTAGGGTTTTTCTTTTCTCTCTCAAAAGTTTCACGTCAGTCTTTCAAAACAGTTCTTCAAATTTTTTATTTGCTTTCAATTTGCCGAATTTCAATTTTGTTTGTGAAAAAATTGTACATCAGGTACGGCGGTCATAAAGATGCACGGGTTAGGTTCAAGTTTACTATTTGTCAACAAATTTTTTTTGGAAAAAAAAGAGGTTCAAAAATAGAACAAAAATTCTAGCAAGTTTTTTCGCGCGAGCGGAAATAGTTATTATATACTTTTAAAAGTAGTAAGCATAGTGGTAGATCACAGTTACAGAAGAATATTGACGTGTGAAAATAAACAGATTTTTCATAAGTTGATCAAACAACGTTTTTAAAAATCAATGGCTATAATTCCAGAAAATTATCAATTCATGATCAAATTCTTCATCAATAATATAAAAAAATGATTCAAAACATAACATACATCAAAGTGCTTGCTATCTACTTAATGCACCTATTGATGATATGAATTTGATGAATTAATTAAAATGAATGGTAACTCAAAAAGTATAAAATCATTGAAACAGCTCAAAAATCAAGCCAAACGGATATTCAAATTTTGGTTGTTAAAAATGATAGAAGCATCTTCAATTCAGGAAAAAATAAAAAATATACACGCTGATCAAACTATTAGTACATTTTGAAACTAACAATAAACAAAAGATTGTTCGGGTTGGTGTGGTATTTTATTTTGACTAATTCACTCACCTTGCATTATTAACTGAAGGTTGATTGGGGTCCTCGAAATTCCCTCTATTATTGTAGCTACAAACGATTATCAAAGTTTTTGTTACTCTCATGGATCATGATTTTTGAGCTTAATTTGTTTCTAAATTTAAATGATAAAAATGAAGTCATGGACCACAAGAGTTCTTATAATCTAATGAGAACAGTTAATTATTCGAGTCTCTGTATTCGCGGAAGATAATTTGAGAAAAGCCAAATCATAAGTCAAAAATCAAACTTACTGTTTTATGTGACTTGAACGTTGGCCATTAACTGTATCTTTAAGATTTCTTGTATTCATGGGTAAGCTCGGTATGGAGCAGGAAAGGAACTGAAATTTAGAATGTAAAGAGATGCCCAATTGTGATTCAATGTCTAAGTTTGCTACTGAGTAACCTGGTTTTCTCAGTCATCAACACGGTATCAGATATAAGATAAATTTTAAGTTACTACTAAGTAAGACATAAAGCAATTCTACAACTAAGTTTGAAACTAATTTGTAGTTGCATTTCTAGAACCACACCTACCCGATAAACACTATAGTCAAATTGGCATATAAATGTAGAGAAAATATAATATTTAATTATCTACTGGTGTAAATACATAGAATAAAATGTTTCTTGAGATTTAGATAACGTAAGAGTTATGTTACAAGAATGATATGCAAGGATATAGGTTAAGATGATTGTATGTATGAAGTATTAGTAATTTTGTTATAATCGCATGAACTGTTAATCCAGCCTAAAACGTGTACTAGTAAGTGTTAAGCTAGATCTTGGAGCGCATACGACCGATTCAATCGCAAATGTTATGTAATGTAAAAATGTGACTCACCTTCCAAATCTTCCATTGTTGCCTGCTGGTGGTGGTGACCGCCGGCTGAACATGCCATAATCTTGGCCACCACTTCTGAATCCAGTATCACGCATTGAACCCATGCCAGCTGCTTTTATAAATTATCATAAATGAAATTGTGAACGCAAATATATATATTGAATGATAATGTAAAAAAATAAAAATAAAAACAAAATACTAACTGTTATAATTGCCAGACATACCAGTCATACCCGTGAACCTTCTCTCATACAAGTCTCTTGATTCGTCAAAACCACGACGATCATAATAGCTATCATAGTCTTGGAAAGGAGGATAGTTCTAAAAAAAAATAAAGGATTATTGAGTATGATGAACCATGGATAAAATTGAATTTTAGCTGGAGTATAAATGAAGACTTACTCCAAAGCGTGCTCCTCCCATGAGTCTGTCCCGGAGAAATGGGGGAGGTGGTGGTGGTGGGTAAGGGTCGCGACCAAACATTCTGTCTCTGAAACCATTCCTGTCAGGGCCACCACCCATACCACCCTTGGGACATTCCTTTGACCAATGTCCACCTCTACCACATCTGTAGCATTGCTCTGGATCACCCATGCCTGGCCTTTGGCGGACACGACTGGTTGAAATTTGTACTTTCATAGCTTCTCCATCAACAATTTGACCATTCAACTCCTTGATGGCTTCATTAACATCTCCAGATGCCTCGAGATGGACAAAACCATAGTTGCGAACAATGTCACACTCAACCACAGTACCATACTTTGCAAAAAGTTCACGAACTTGAGGAGCCTTAGTATTATCAGTTAGGTTACCAACAAAAATTTTGGTAGTTGGAGTGTTGGGTCCTTTACGGCTCTTGGCAGCTTCACACTTAATGGGCTGACCATGAACCATGTTACCATTCAGGTTTTGAATGGCATTCCTTCCTGCTTCTTCATTTTCCATGTGCTAAAAAGAAGAGATTTTTGTATTTTTACTTATATTTCCAATTTTCATTTAATAAAATACAATCCTGATATAAAATTGTATCTATGCTCCAGTATGCTAAGGATATTAATTTAAAAACAACACAGAAGAAAGTAAAAGGATAAACTTACCACAAAGCCATAATTTTTCACGACGTCGCATTCGACAACCTTGCCGTATTTTTCAAATAACGGCTTGATGTCGGCGTTGGTCGTCTTGTCGGCCAAGTTTCCAATAAATATCTTGAAAGTGCCTACGCTGCTGAAACCTGGCATCTTGGCTGCTGTCTACAGAAATCCTAAACAGATAACCACAAAAAAGCGATGTATTAATACGATCTTCAAGTTTGCAACGTCTTTTACGTAAATAATACGGAAAAGAAAAACCAATGACTATGAAATATCGCAGCACAGCGACAATCAACTAAAAGCTACGTTCACTGCGATTATATAGGTAGGTATATAGAAAACATACCAATAGTTCGATGAATATAAGCTCGAACAGAAAAATTTGCAAGGTAACTATTTTTGTTAAAATAGCTTGTTGTACGAGGGTTAAATTATAAAAACGCAACCTTATAAGAAAAACTATTGACGAGTTGATACGTGTTGTAAATGCGAGTTAGTGGTTCCGGAAACTTCCACGGGCGCAGGCGCGTCGAATACGACAAGATGGCGCTTTATAGCATCACACGCACACACGCACAGAAGTATTGTACACGAACTTCTTTCGGAGCAACGTATAACGTATTCGAGCTGTCTCTGTCTCTTTCTCGCTTGGATTCGACGCTCGCTCCTCTTGTGTTTCGAGCAACTTTCACCAACGCCCCGTGCGGTTTGCATCCCCGTATACAAATTGGACAATTAACATAACGTTCATCGTGGCTCATACGTTTTTCCGACCACGCACACACAGCTCCAACACTTGAGTATACAGCTTCCGGTTTTGAGCGAGCATATATTTACAGACTCTGGATTTATTGTTTTGATAATGTCACGAATATCCACAAATTTGCCCGGTTTCAAGAAGACCTATGCAATAGGTGGCGTCCTTAAAGGGTTGAAAAAAAAAAACATTCAAGTGCTCGAAACTTCATTCAAAAGGTTTAATTTACAGCGGGTGGCGCCCCGCGAGCCAAACCTTTCAAGGATATTCCGAGAGAAAATAATCGATATCGTAACGTCTCGCGTCCGCCGGTATTGATGAAAGTTCTTAGGAGTGAATGAGACGACGTTAAAATCGTCACTCCATTATACTCGTGGCAAAATAGGTAACCCTTAACATGCTCATTATATAACCTGTTTCTATTGAAGAAATTTGAAATGGAAGCTTTACTACCCGAGGATCCCACGATGGCATTGATGTTTGAGAGGGGGTAGACTCTTGTACATTGTTGATAAAGGCAAGTTGTTTATTAAAAAAACAACAATGCAGACGCCCAGAGACGCAAGTACGAGTCCAAATGTGTATACAGAGAGAAAGAGACAGAGAAACGTGACTATGTTGTCGACTCAATGCCGTGCAACAGCAATGGCGCCGCGTAAGCGGCATGTATCGTGGGTTCACTCAGCAGCATTCGTAATAAGTGGTGTGTTTTGTTGTCGCAATTAATCAACAATAAGACATGGCATATTTGTACACTCGTCACAAAGTCACAATTGCACAGGCACACACCTACGCACGGGAGCACTTTTTTTCTACACTCGTCATGAAAGATAACCGTGACACGAAATTAAAGGAACCGTTACTATTCGAGCAGTAATCACATAGAACAAGTACATATTTGGTAAATACACTTGCATGAGAAAGACAACAAGCATTTGAAGGATAACAATTTAAAAAACCTAAACGAGTTATGACAGCGGGGTACTTACCGAATTGCCGAAAATGAAGGTGAGAATTATACTGTGTGGTACTGCACTGCCTGTATACTGTAGCGGTGTAGATGCGGCGGAAAATGGCGGCGTCGCGCGTCGGGCGGCAATGGATTTCTATATAAAATGACTATATATAAGGACCGAAGCAACCGGCGCAGCGTTCCAATTGCTACTGTGTTGGGCCACGCAACATAGAAAAGCCGCTCAGTCGCGTCACCGCCGAGCGCGATCGACGCGCGCACCGTTCTATGCCTACAAATAACAAAATGTATAGCCAGCCGGGCAGTGGCGACAATATCTCGACTAGCGGACAGTATAATGTAGAAGAGACTCGCCCGCGGAAATTTAAACTTCTTGTATCGCATCGTCTTAACCAAAGATGAAATAGATTTATAACTTGAACAACCAACAAAATTAATTGGAATTAGTTTAATATTCGAGTGTGGAGTTGTACCTAAAACGATAAAAGAGCAGAATTTATACTAAAAAAACACCAATGCATCCTATTATTGTCTTTTCAACTTCAGTAATACAGACCTTGATTGGGGTACAGTTAAAAAAAATAAAAAATTAATTTTAAAATTAACTGTTTTATATAAATAATAATCAAATAATACGTTGTCAGAATTTCATTTCGTCAGTGCATTCATAGACGGCTTTTCTCAAGAAAAATTAAAATAAAATACATCTACTAAAATAAAAGATGATCGCATTTTATGTTCAACTTTACAATGCACAGAATCTAAGAATAAAAATAACTTGCTTAAAAATAAAGGTCATTTAATAAGGTTTAAAAGGGTTTGAAAATAGAAACTGTTTATATTTTACTAAACAAAAATGTTTTAGCAGCGAGTAATAATTGTACATAAATTGCATTACAATATTACCACTTTTGCATGAAATAATGATGAAATTAATATTAGAATAATTTAATTTGGCCAATGTATAACTGAAAGAAATTATGTTGTCTATTTTTTATTTCAATAATAATAATAATCATTTAATTTTAATGAAATATATTTTTTTACTATTAACATACTCATTTTAATGCTAACAATACATTGATTTATACATGAATATTAAACTTATCGTTGTTAAAAATGTAGAAATTTTTTTTAAAAATTTGAAACAAAATACTTCATTTCAAGTTTTTTTTTCTGTAAGTAACATTAGAAACATTACAATTTTTACGGACTAAAATAGTTTACTAGTTTAATGTGAAATAACAATATTGAGCGTACTAAAATGGCTTTTATGTTGGCTTTGACTGTTATTCTGTTTTTTACACTACACTACTCATTCACTCGTATAAAAATAATATACACGTATTTAATACGATATCATACAATTGACATATTCAATTACACATTTTTACACTTCAATCTATATATATTTATATATAATATATATTATATACAATTCAGTTCTCATTGTCAGTCTTCAGCTGCAGTCTGCAATTATTTTAAAAACTATATACACATAAGAGGAAATCAGGGGAAATTAGGCATTGTATATACATTAGGACGTCTATAATTTTTCTTTTTCAATAAAGATAAAATTAAATTAAATTTTTTTTTGTCAAATTTACTACACAATTTTGATTGCATTGTCAATGTGCAGTTTTGACATTGTTTTCTTGACCCGAAGCGCTGTCAATCTCACAGCTGGGTTAGAGTGCCAGCATTCAGTCATCAGCTTGCTCATTGTGCATAAGATCTGTGAATGAAAAAGTATAGTTAGATTTAATTGAACATTTAAGCATTATAAGTAAATATACACTGAGAAAAATACCCTAGAAAAAATTACCAGGTTATAGAAAATATTACTAAGTAACAAAGAAGTTTCTATCAAGTAACATTTCCTAAAAGAAGGGTAAAGTTTACTATAACATAGTAATTTTCTTAAAAATGTTTTTCTTAAAAATAGATTCCATGGTTACTATATGATATAGTAATTGCTTTTCAAGGTACTTTTCAGTGTAGAAATATTTAAATACGTATTGCTTACTGGATCAGAGTCCCATCTCTGAGGGATAACAGGCCTGAGATTTTTCACGCAGACAGCCAGCCTCATTTCTTCGAAATCAGGATCGTTTGGTACGACGTCGTGATAGGGAAGAGCGTAGGGTTCCGCTGTGGAGACCTTGCCTCCGGTGGCGCATCTTCGGCAGATCTCCCAGAGTACGAGGCCAACCGAGTACATGTCAGCCATTTTGAAGGAGTCGAAGCAGCTGGTGTTGAGAGATTCGTCGAGCTGCTCCGGGGCCATGTATCTGCGCGTGCCAACGCGCGCATTGGGCGCGATGTCGATTTCGCCGGTCTCGCTAGTGAGATTAACAAAAAATTGTAACGAATCAAAGTTATAATTGAATCGAAAAATGAATGAAGTAAAAGTAAAAAGTCGACGAGAGAGCGATCGCTCTTACCTGAGATAGCGAACAGCGAGTCCGAAATCGGCAATGGCGCACTCGCCGTTACGCTTGACGAGGATGTTCTTGGACTTGATGTCGCGATGGGCGATCGCGGGCTTGCCGCGGGTGCCAAAAATCTCCGTGTGCAGGTGCACGACGCCGCTAGCGATGCTGAGGCAGACGGCGAGCAGCGAGGCGTAATCGAGCACGGTCGACTGCAGATAATCGTGGAGCGAGCCGCGCTCGTGATAATCGGTGATGAGGAGCATCTGGGTCCAGGAGCCGGTGCCCTTGATGTCGGCCGCGATGAAGCCGAGGATGTTGTCGTGGCGCATCAGGACCGTCTGGTAGATCTCGGTCTCGCGGAACCACGAGGCCTCCTCCAGCGTGAAGAAGATCTTGACGGCGACCTTTTCGCCGCGCCAGCGGGCGAGCCAGACCTCGCCGTAGCGTCCCTTGCCGACGCACTGCGACAGCTGTATCTGCTTGGCGATAGTGCGCTGCACGAGCAGCGGCAGGCCCGATCCCGATCCCGAGCTCTGATCGATCAGCTCCTTGAGGGTGCCGCTCTCGGAGCCCGAGACGAGGCAAGGGCCGCGCTCCTTGTTGCGCTTGTGGCGCTGATAGACCAGGATGGCACCCAGCGAGAAGATGATGAGGCAGACGGACAGGATGACGGCGAGGATGATGAGGGGCGCGTCCGAGGGCAGGGCCTGGCTGTTGGGCGGCGGCGTCGAGTGGCTCTTGTACATCGGGAATATGTCCCGATTGCAGAGGTCCGAGTCGTTGCAGCAGACGATGTTCTTGCCCTGCAGATGGGGCACGAGGTAGCCCTTGCACTGCATGAAGCCCTGCTCGTCCGGTGGCAGGCAGCCGAACGACCACTCGGGCACGAGCTCCTCTTGTTCCGAGTCCCAGATCTCCTCGACGGCGCTGAAGCAGTGGCCGCCCGGCCGGGTCTGGCAGGTACCATTCTGCTTGTCCGACGGGCAGCTGCCGTCGCAATAACAAGTCAAGCCTGAGACTGAAACCGACAAACAACAACAAATTATTATTAAAGGCTTTCTCGTACGGGAATTGATCGATTTAATTTTTAAGTATTTCCTAACGTTTGAGTAAATTAACATTAATTTACTTGTATAACAAAAATTTGATTTTTCACTTTCTTTAAAAATTCGATCGAGCATATATTGAATAGCGCCATACACAAAGGAAAATTATTTTTCCCTACTCTAACCTAAAATACGCAACTTTGCCGCTAATTTTAGGCTCTCGTAGGAAAAAATAGTATCTCAAACTGGTGCAGATATGGTTTTTTAACAAAACTCGTTACAGCACTCGCCTTCGGCTCGTGCTATAATCCCTCGTTTTGCTAAAAAACCATATGTGCACCCGTTGAGAAATATACTATTCCCTTCTTTTATTCTCTAATTGATATACGCATGCGTGCATGGAGCAATTGTTCGATTTTATCGGAAGCTTCTGGTTTCGCATCGACGCGCTTATCGGATGAATGGAAAATAATTCCTCTCGTTGGTTCGTATCAAAATATACCCGCAGGAAGTGTCGCATCGAGTATGCATCGAGATATTCGCGCGTCGTTGAGCATCGATTGCACATTGAACATGTCGCTTCGATACGCGCAAGCGAGTAATCGTACAAAAACGTACACTGCCGGCAGTTTCGAAGGAAGTCAATGTTACAACAAATTGCGATCGCCAGACTGCTACAGATTTACGCTTCTTCGATTCTATTTTTAAATGCTTATAATTGCGTACACCGATTGCGAAATTACGGCTAATCGTCGAATATCGTACGCGCATCCGCATCTCTCGGCTCCTTGCGGCTACACATAAATAAAAACGCAGATCAACAGTAATAGCGCGTCGAAAAACGGAAAAAAGCTCGAGCGTATATCACCGTATTTATATTTAGACGCGCGCAAATATATATCTACAACGCGTGAGGTAGTAGCAGTAGCGGCGGTGCGGCAATTACCAGAGTCGACGAGCGCATGCGGCAGACACTTTCACGAAAAAAAGACGAAATGACGAACCACCGCCGCATTGCCAGACGAGATCTCATATTTTGCGCGCGCGTGCGGCTTATACCCGCTGCATAGTGTATACCAGTTAGTACTTGGACTTTGGTTTTGTTATGCACATATACATATAATTTATGCGACTCGAGAGCTAGCTGCAAGACTGCAGTAGCCAACGCGCATGTGTGCATCTCGCGCGCACGCACCCGTCAAAAGAGAAAGAGACGAAAATCTTATTATAAATATTTATATTATCGTACGCGCGCTTGAGCCTGGTCACAAATCGTTTTCGCGAGGCTCGAGGAATATTTTTCGGTTAATTCTCGAGCTTAGTAACGAGGGTGTTAAAAAAAAATGCGACGCGTAAAGGAGGTAGGCGCGATCGTTTCCGCGCGTGTCGATTAGGTCGTTGAATAAACGCGTGTATATTTTTAACATTCCTTCGTCATTGCACTTTGCCAAAGAGCCGATGGCGTGTGAAATAATATATAAGCTCGCGTTCGGATCGGCGGATACCACTAGGTGATGAAGTCATGCCGACGATGTTTCGTCGATATGGATTTTATTTATAAATATTGTGCGTGCCGCCGCCTAGTCGACGCCGAGAAATGAACGTTGAAGCGAAAAAAAAACGTTTTAACGAGACCATTAAAAAAAAAGAAGAAGAAGCTTTTAACTCGCCTTATGCGAATACGTATTATAGGTATTATGCAACGGATCAATATATACTCACGATTCTTGGCAGGGCACATTGAATCGAACATAATTAGGATAATTTTGCTCTATTCGATTGATTCACGAGCGCGACTCTTGGCACATTTCGGGAAGACATAAACACGCAACTGTGACGCGACATCTTCTGATTTTCTTATTATAGTCGAATGAATGATCATTATTGATGTTTACCTTAAACACTAGATTTCTATTGATTGGTTGCTATATATATTTATAAGAAACAGCTTGACAGGTAAAATTTTGTACCTTGAATGGAGCACACTGAATCTTTATGTAATCGTCATATATAGTAACAATACTTCTCTGACTCTAAAGATGTGAAATAGCAGCTGCATTTTCGAGACTTTTATGTGCGCGATTCTCGCTTCGTCTTGCGTGTTTGGTGCACGTGCCGCATCTATGGCACACGCACTTGCGACACGAAAGTCGCATTTACGCTTTTGCGTTTGACAAAGGCCATTAGAAAGCAAACGTACATATAAAAAAAGAGAGAAAGAGAGAAAGAAGAAACGTACATATAAAAAGGGTTCCGAGACAAATCCACGACGTTCTTGGATCAGCATCGCGCGCGACCGCGATCGTGTGCGTGTATTGTGGTGTATAATACATCGCCGCGCTATATGTGTGCGGTTTTTGCCTTTTGATCTTTCGCGCAGCACACGGAACACATGAAAAGCAAAAACGAGCGAATAATCCCTTTCTTTTTCTTCTGCGTTTTGTTGCGTTCAGAATATCAAAGTGAGAATAGATTTTGAATGTATAATACCGGTACGGAACGACTAATCGTTACAACCTGTTGCTTTTTAATGAGAGCGAATAATTTTAAGGAGAATATTAAACTCGTGGAAAATATGAGTACCGAGGTAACCGCACCTGCCATGTCACTCCGTTTTTAATTTATGTAGCAATTTTTTCAACACCTTGAAATCTTGGAATATCTCAATTAAAAATTATTTCTAAAGCATTTTCATCTATTTTGTGTCTATGACGAGACTGTGAAGAAGTATGTTTCTACCGCAGAGTTACATTTACACTCAACAATATATAATCGAGTAACGTCTGTAAAAATACACAAATGTCACGAACACGATCGTAGTGTTATAATATGCTCGCAACGACATATCGTTGTGAATGTATTTTGTTCATTGATTTTTATTCTTTACTTTTCTGTCAATTAAACAATACGGAAATAGTATTTGCGATCACTACACCGACTATGCGATTTCAACTATTTGTGTGAAGTATATCTGCTGCACACTTACATGTGAGCTATAGATTCTCGCGTTTCCAAGCTCATGATGAATACCGAAAGAGGAGCGAAAATTCAATAACAAACAGGTTCCATTTTATTTGACGTTGTAAGCGAAGCGAAATTCGTCGAGGCAAAATACATAACGGATACAAAATATACTTTAAATTAAAGAAACGAAGGCACGAATATATCATAGAAACGTTTCGGACTTAATCGTGGAATCAATAATGGAACAAACTGCGGAAGATTAAAGAACCATTTCATAAGCTCACGTGCGTCGTCAAAACAACACAGTTTTACTAGAAACCGCTACTGTTTACTATCGCCTTACTTTTTCATATAAATAGAAATTCGATTTTCAAGCACATTTATATTATTAAAGATCCTACGTGTATACAGGAAAATGACCGATTATATAGCTTATAAACCACGTTCTTGAATAATTGCGTTCTTCCTCAAGCTGCAAAGAGAGAAAGAAAGAAAACAACCTGGAGCTCGCCTTGAAAAGTCTCGAAGGAGCTCCCCTGTAATTTGCATGTATACACGCGCCGTGCGCGGCTGTATGCATGTCTGTAGGTGCACGAACGAGTTAACCCGCGCGCGTTGCATATACTCGTGTACATCTATCTCTCCTCCGTTCTAGGCAATATCTTCGTCGCGGACGCGAGAGTCAATTCGCACGCTCAAAACGCACGCAAACCAGTTGAATTACTATCGAGTGACTCTGAGAATAGTCCATATAGAAGCTGTGTATGCCACGTACAGAGAAGTTGCCCAGTGAATACACTTTTTTTCTCTCTCTCCCTCTCTGTTTTTTTTTACACATTTCCTTAGTTGTGCTTCTGGACTAGAGCCTTTCTCGGAAATTTTTCTCTCCTTATAAACACTCGCGTCTTTATGCGCGTACATGCAGTGCACTCGCTTTCGTTTGATTCTTCAACGGCTTAACATGTAAATATAGCAAAGTCGAGTTTTTGCCTATGCTAGCCCATGTACAATTGTCACGTTGGTCGCTTATAATTAACACGGGCGCGACCCCAACTACGTTATATTTACGTCTTGAGCTTTTGCAGAATTAAACGAGAGTGGACACGAGTTCAAATGTGCAAAGGGGTTACGTCCCTGCGTCGATATTATCACGCATATATTACGGAGAATCGTCCCGTTGCTATCGGCCTCGCCTTCGGCAGCAGCGATTTAGAAGAACTACTTTCGTGAAAGAGCCTGCGTTTATATTTGTGCACCGAGATGTGTTCATGCATGTACGCACAAGGAAGACGACTCAAGGCCGAATATCGATACTCGTTTACGATAAGACTGCTCGCGCCAGCACACAACCTGATGTCGCTGTCAATTATGTATCAAACGATCGATCGTTCAAAAAGTCAACGTTTAATGGACGGCTGGATCGATGTTGGAATATCAAGTACACCACGAAGCCGAGCTCAAAGACGACTGCAGCGATTCCGAGTTGTGTGTATGTACAGTAGGTGTACGTCTGTCTGCGCGTAAGAAGGTTGTCGTCTTATAAGTGATTTAAAACCGAGGCTGGAAACATCGTTGTCGCTATGCACACGATATTTATGCAAAATAAAATATCAATGTTTGAAAGAGATTTTTGCGATATTATTTATATAAATATATTTTGCGCGCACCTAAAGCTCATCTCAGATTACTCGGAGAAGCGTTAAATATCCGAGGATGGCATAATAGCAGTCATCGTTCAAATATGACATTTTTTGGAGCGAAAATGCGACTTTGTAAAAAAAAAAAACTGTGCACCTCGGATTATGTAAAAGAAAAAAACGTTTACGGGGCTTTGATAAAGGTTTCAACGCGTGATGCTGTTTTGCTTAAAGAAATACAATATGTCCATAGAAACCTGACAGTTATAAGTACTGATACTAGGATGAGATTGAAAGAATACAGATAATATTTGCTTAGGACCTGCCCCTGTACATATACTATAGCGACTTCAACAGAAAAAGCAGGAGGATATTTACTCATATCATGCTTCACGCAGTTCTCTCGCGAGATGTATATTTGACCAAGACTGAGAGGTCGTCAAGTTTTCTCTCCCTTTCACGAACCAAATAATATAAGGAGGAGGGCACATAAGACATCAGAGCTAAAAAAAATTAGTTTTTGTCACGTATGCAGGCAAAGTTTGTTTTCAAATGTTTACTTTTTATTGTTATCTGTTATAGTGTGCGATTTCAAAGTTGTTTCAGAAGTAATAAAAAAAATACATCGAGGGCGTAGAAGGAAAGACATTTCAAGCGAAGAGAGCACTTGAATTCTATACAGAAAAATCATAAGGCTCTTCGACGTTGAGGGTTTTTCCTAAAAATGTTTATACAAATCTCATTCTCTCTCGCTCTCTTTGTAAACATAATACACGGCCGAAAATTTATCATTTTTTTTACTCTGGGAAGCAGACAGCAGCTCCTTTAGCATACGGCAATGCGTAACGGTATATAAAACACTGAATGTCAATGACAATGATCTTTTCTCCATATATCCGATATGTATACGATCTTATTTTCCGCGTAACTGAATCATTATAATCTCATCTTTGGCTTGAAAATCACGAAGCCCGGCATTGTGATTTACACATTATGATATTTCAGCTGAAAGGACCGAGTTCTTGCAAAAAAACTCGTATATACACCGAGTACCGTTAGTTTATTTTTCATTTATCGTACGTATACGAACAAAAACCAACTTTTGACTGTTTGGAAACCTCGGTAGGACGAAAGTCATTTCAACTCTCGCACGGTTATAGAGTGCTTTGCCCAGTTATTGAACGAGTAAATGACCACTTTTGGGTATGCAATAATATAATTTTTCCGTTTTACACAATAATTAGTCATGAAAAATATCAAATCTCATAGCTTTTCATATACATCTTTAATAAAGGTCAATGGCTTTTTTAAAAATTGCACATCGATGACCTTCAATAGAATAAAATCAAAATTGCTTTGTACGATAATTGTGTGTGTGTGTGTGTGTGTGTGTGTGTGTGTGTGTGTATAACACAAGACCATGAATAATCTTTGGAGTGGTACACGTCGTGGGGGAAAAAAGGCTGCAAATTTTACAGCTATATTCGTCATCGCAATTTCGAGATCGTAGAGCGCTTACCCAGAGGGTTGATTGCGCATTGTACGTACGGCAGAGCGCTTCTTGCCCAGGCGATGAGTCGTTCCATAGCAACCCCAGCGAAGCGGAGATACAATATAAAATGACGCATCCGCGCAGCAAGAGACTGTCATCTCGTCGCTCGACCGAGACTATGCAGAGACTGTCTCGATTTTCTATTTTATATATGTCTTCGTTGAACACAAAACCTCCCCTCGGCTTGGCTCGTAATGCGATCTAATTTACCGCCATCCCGAAGAGCGTCCATCTCCCTCTCTTCCCCTTATAGCTGATTCAACGGCTTAATTGCTTTTATGCTGCGAACTCGTCTCTATATATGTATTTGCGTAATTCATTACGTTTTGATGACCGCCTCATCCGAAACTGAGCAAAATTGAATATAATTTATCAATTTCTAGAGCTCGTGATAGTCGAATAAAAACAAACGAATTATACTATATTATAGGATTATATTTAACTGCGTTGATGTAGAATCTTATTTCTTTTTCATAGCAGTCGAGGCAACAAATCAATGCTAAGCTCAACGCGCGAGAAAAGAATTTTGAGTGAACGCTAGCGCACGCGCGCTTATTAATTCGCGTCGCGTTGATATGTATTCGAAGAAAGCCACATCGTATAAATACAAAATCAAATGCATCGATATCTCTCTGTGTTTTTAAGGCCCGCGTGCGTTGAATTCGCGTCTGGAATCGACAAATTCGAGACATTTCTTTCTCTCTATAAGACGATTAAATTTCAAGGTTGCCAAGTAGCCCACTCTGGGACGTAGTGTGGGCAATTTACCGAGTGTGGCTCGCGCTACATAATATAGAACAATGAACGTTAGTGAAATAAATAGATGAGCCGTATCCGGTGCTCGTCATGGGCCTGCAGAGAACCGATTACGAGTGAAGTGCCATTGAGAGGAAAAACAATAAGCGACTTGTTTAATATCAAATCTCGGAGTGAGTATGAGAGGAAGAGATAAATAGAGAGAGAGAGAGAGGATAAAACATGAGCAGCCCATTACTGAATGGCATCCATTCTTGTTACATTATATATAAACTTATACGTTCTCAAAAGAAAGAGAGAGAGAGAAAATAAAAAATTTTCAAAGACGTCTCGTATTATAGCACCAGTGTGAGCGGACGAGAGGGAAACGTCTCTGAAGCTGTAAAATAGCTACGCAGTACGTGCAAAATCGTGAGCATTCGAATGAGCAGCCGCCCATGATCGCATCGACGTTCGATCCGAGGCCAATGTATTCTAGCTGTAAAGATTCTTTACAAGACGACGAGAATCGTTTCATGCTTCGTTCGTAAGCTTATCCTTTTTATACACATATTACGCAAAAAATGAATTGATTAACGACGATCTTTTTAAGCACGGATCGAAATCAATTATTTTTGCTAAAGCGATTTTCAAGTCTTTCCACGAGTATCTCGAAAATTGCGATAATTCTTGAGTAGGTGGTATAAGGGACAGGATAGTATAGGTAGAGTCTTGGAGAGGTATGGGCCGCGAGCGCTCGGCAATATGCGTGGGTGTCAAACTCACAGCCACGGCACACTATACATCATAGGCTCGCGTGAAAATTGCACGTCGGGCGCGCGCGGCCTGTGCGTGCACTCGCACTCGAGCTGAAAATATCGTCGGATGCAACGCCGAGTCAGCGAAAGAGAGAGAGAGAGAGAAAGAGATGCTTTTAGAGATGAGCGTCGCGTGTTTCACGCGCGTATATCGTCGTTATTATCGTTGCCGCACACGCTGTATAGCAGCGACAGCGATTCGCGTCGCCAACTCTACTCTTCTATTTATCGCGAAACGCGCTCAAATATACTTAAATGCGTTATAAAGCACTGAAATACAATCTTTCCGGCGACGACGATTGTAAATACAATATTGTAGATATATAGCGTGTACAATATTAAACGATAGATAGCAATGAGTGAGGTGCGCAAGCTTCTTTTTCCAGCTCTTCGTGGTGTTCTCACGTAAGTGTATACACTCATGCGTCAGTGTAAACAGAGTAACAGACGTCTAATTTTTGTCATCCACGCCTTACTGTTACCGTATCTTCGTGTACCATGTGCGTGTGCTGTCTGCCTGTATGCTCAATGACATTTTAAACTCGGCGTCGTTCCAAATACATGGCGCAGCCACACGTATCAGCGCCGACCACGCGACTACAAACCTATCGCATAATAGATAGCCTCGAGTGTACTAACTAAACGCTATTTATCGAATCTTCATCAAGAGCCGCTTTTGCTGGCTGATGGTGGCGTCTATCAAAGTGTAAACACGAGGCAGGTGTAGCCGACGACTCCGATCTTATCTATCGTCTATGATGTTTGAACGATATCGCGCGCGAGCGAGTTTGACGCGGATACGAGCCAATAACACACACGTCGATCGCGCGAATCCAACGCAATTATTAGCATGGCGCAAGCCTGTTGCAATATAAAGCCTATACCAACGAAGAGATGCGAGCTTCTCATGCAGGTACGTCGTCATCGTCGTGGCATTTTTGCACTTTAAAAGAGGCGTCCGCGCATCGATCGCGAAAAACCTGCTGCGGGCTGCGACTCTTCTGATCCTTGACTCGCAACGATATATTGGCGAACGAGAAAAATAACGCAAAAGCGAGGTTATGTGGTCGATATGAATGCTGGCGATTTTCGTTCTCAAGTGTCGTCGAATGGCAACACAGGACCATCGAGGATCGTTAACGCGCTTGTCGTATGAAATCTATTATTTATTTTCTTGTATACTTGAACGCAAGATCGAATGATTGGTTTCAAGCATTACTGTAATACGCGCACACGATCTGGAGCGAGGTGAGTGGGAGTGATAGAGATAGATGTTTACCTAGACTCGGACTGTTGCCGATCCAACTGAGCAATAAGACCCAGACGAGGGATTTCTTGAGCTGAGATTCTCTGCCTATCCTCCTTGTCGTCGTCGTCGTCGTCGACGTCTTCGTCGGAGAATTAGCAGTAGACGCAGCCATTTTCTCTTCTCTCTGTTTCGCAGCTTCTCCCTCTCTACATGTAGCCGTGTGCTGCACACTCACATGTACACAGAGCGGAGACTCACGCACTTGTATTCACTCGCACAGCGGGCACACACACACACACAGACACACTCACTCTCGAGCTGTATAATGTGTTTTCTCGCTGCGGATGCTCTCGTCTCGGACACAGCGAGAGAGAGAAATGAGAGAGTGAGTCGAGCGAAGGCACGAAATAAAAAATAAAGTAAAAAAAACAGAGGCGCACTGACGGCGATCGTATATATTCGTATACACGCAGCCACGCACACGGGCACAATTCTATTGTTTACACAGGTCGTATTATTATTTTTATAATAAACAACGGAGTAGAGTTTGAGTGAAAAAAAAATCAGCGAAGCGCAAAAAAAAACACAGCGTCTGGTCCAAGTTATCGGTATTTTTTTTCTCCTATAGGCAAAGAAAACAAGGACGCGCCTCTAGTCGCTGCTATTGCACTGCTGCTGCTGTTGTCGTGTGCGTGTGCAGTTTTTATGCGTGTGTGTTGCATATACGCACGATGCAGCCGCGCACACAGCTCAATCTATTTTGTTGCCGATAATAGCCATGATGATCTCTCCTCTCGTTCTAGCGCTCGCCTCGCTGCGTGCACCCAGTCGGCGGAATTGCTTATGCTGCTCCGAACTTTTGAGGAAAATCGAATCTTGGGCTGCACTCGACTCGTGCGACATAAAAAACACTTACGCACGTACACTAGACACGAAGGGAAGAATATATCACTTGCACTTTTTATATTCCAGAGCACGAGCACGCACTTATGGGTAATGTCGTGAGTGTTTCTCTCTCTCTCTTCTGCGTGTATGTGTGTGGGTATGTATATATCGACGAGAGCCAAGTGCAGTTCGCGGAGAGGCAGCCTGCAGAGAGGCCCCGCAAACTGTCTATGTATAGAATCGGTTCTGTTTTGTATATATAGTTATGCCTGTATCTATATATGTATATATAGAGGCGTGCGACAGTCCAACGTTGTCATAGACACAAACACACGTACGGATGGTCGTGCGCGCGTGAATCGCTAGCGAGCGAACCGAGAAGACTGAGGAGCCGCTCAGCGGTTGGCTGCTGGTGGCTGCACTGCAACAGCAGCAGCAAAACACCTACCCTCCCTTTTGCGACTCCGCTGCGCACTCTACGTCGTCGTCGTCGTCGTCGTCGTCTTTCTCAATTCTCTCACGTTGTATATTACGGAGAGAGAGAGAGAGAGAGAAAAGTGCGAGAGAGCCAGTCCTGACTGTGCGCTGCGTACTGTTAGCACTGGCGGTGGTTTCTGCGTTCTCTGTGCGTGGGAGAGAGAGAGAGACAGCGGCCACTGACGATCAACCGCAGCTCCGAGCAGCAGAGAAGGTGACCAAAACTTGCCTATACATATGTAGGGGGCGCTCGGACTTGCGCGATGCCCCAGGCTCGCTCGCTCGCTGAATACTAAAAAGAACGCGTAGCGATCGAGGACTTGGCTTCTTTAAATTCGTTTCATTGGCATTGTAAAATCCGACCATTTGTCTCTTGCTTTTTAAAAGGAGTTTCTTCGTCTTTATTTTAATTTTTCATTGTCGATAACACATTTTAACACAGAGATCCACGTGACGTTTTTTATTGTGCAAATATATAAAAATCGAGAGCTTACAGGCATTGATTCAACATTATTTTCAGGATATGATAAATGCAGCTCGTCATTAACGTGAAGTACTCAAGGATAATAATGAATGACTTGGATAAATCACAAGCAAGATTGTTCATTTTGACATACGCACGCGCAACAATAGACCGACATAGGCATGTTAAAAATGAGCTGAACTAGTCCTCGGGATATTTTACGTAGCGCAAATGTCCATCTCGCTGCTTGGCGTTTGCCATTTAAGAAAAACAATGAGAAACCGTTACAATTCTGCAAATTATACTTTATATTAGAGCCAAAATTTCCTATACATCTTACGCATATAGACGTTCACAAACACCTGTTGTCTGTCAATCCCAAGGCCTGTCCCGCACGCACAACGCCTATGAGACCAAAGAGACGTGTGATTTCTTTACAAACTGTCTCGTTTACGTGATTATCATAGTGGGTATACAGTACGTAAAAAGACGTCGATTATCGTTCAGCGCGCGATGTACCTACAAAACATGTGTTATATCTATGAAAAGAAAGCGAAATAAAATAAGAGTGAAAAACATATTTTTTTGGGGGGGGGGGGNTTTTGGGGGGGGGGGGGGGGGCGCCTTGATCTTGCTGACACAACGAAACGTCTCTGATGACATTCAATGTGACTGTTGTGTCAAAGAAATGTAACGATTGAAATTTCTCCGCGTGACTATAACAAAATGGAACGCTTCAAAATTTCCAATTCAATAGTGATTCAAAAAAAAATTTTTTTTAACAACGCATGTAAGTATTCAAAAGCATGAAGAAGGAGCTTAATCGTTTAATCGAATCGAACATACGATAATGCCAAATTTGTATAACATACATGCACGTATGGGATATCGGTTGGTGTTGCTTCGCGATTGTTGTGCTACAAACTGCGCACGCACTCATTGGTGCGGGTCATTTTGTGTAATCTTATCGTTTGGATAAACACCAACAGTCGCGACGCGCCCGTGTGCGAGTGTCCGTTTTCTGCACACGATGCATACTGCTCGAGTATATAATACGGGAATTCCTTCGAGAATCGAGACGCGAACAGAAATAAAATAAAAGTTAAACGTTCTTTCGCCAAGTCCAAGCTTGAGAGAGTAAGTTGATTATTTTTACGTTTTATACGTTATAGGTTTGGCTGTTATTGTCGATTTGATATCGTCCGCAGCGAAGACGAGTGTCATGTAGCGGCGACTAACTCAAATAATTGCACATAGTACACTCGCTACGCTCGGGCTGCAAATTGACACTCTTGCAAGATTGACAACCCCCCTCCTCAGTTACGTAATACGTATTATGAAATTTCGATATAATGTTTTTAAAACATTTTACATACTGATCGAATTTTAGATTACTCCGTACACGAGTGAGGTTGTATGTACAATATGTACATCGAAAGACACAACATGATTTCATGTAAATATATGTCATGTAAATATCTGAAACTGCAAGCCTCGAAAAAAATGTTGTTTCAAACGATTTTGAGAACCATCAATCTCTCACAAATCTAATTTATGCCCGCTATTGAAAAACTTGGACTGTCTCTGCGCCTGTTGAATTGCTGTATCAGCATTTTCACGCGTATAAAAATATATCGCCGAGTCTCTGCTTTATAAAAATATCCGATACAAACAAAAGTTCGAAAATTTTAAAAAATGTTAATGTAACGCTTTCGCGTAATAAAACCCATACCGGCCCATATAATGTGTCAGGAAACAAAGGAGCTGCTCCGAATGACAGAGTAACCCATTTTCCAATACCTTACGGACGCTTACGTTATTTTATAAATGTTCCGTTATTTTTTTTTCTCTCTTCATACATCATTATGCACTCGAAACGCGCCTCTTATATGAATCACGTTAGCTCAAAAGTTTCAACGGTCGCAATTATAACTACGATAATTTTTGGCGCACCAGAACTGTCAATCTTTCAGAATTGAAAAACAAAACAAAAATAAAAAATCGGAGTCGTCCACTTTTTTGTTTTTACTAGTCCCATTCGGTATTACTGATGCAAGCGAATTTATATAAGCTCCGTATCGAAGTGCATACCATACATACGAATGTCATCGAGTAAACTCGTATAAGAGGCAATTTTTCGAGATTTCTTTGCTGATAAGCTTCTCGAGATGGCGCTTAATGTTAATGAGCGTCGGTTAAACTTAATATACACAATTGCTACTCTGCAGCATCGTCGTCGTCGTCGTCGTCGTCGTGAACAGCATAAGGTATTATAATTTTCAAAGTCAATTGCAGAAATAACGTTTTAATGCACATACAATTACAAGTGCGAGAAAAACGTAGCAAATGACAATATAATATATTGCTATATTATGGCGTGGCGAGATGACGAGACGACGATGACTTAACTCGTAGAACATTGCAGGGAGTATCGGCATTGGCGAGAGAATCGAATTTTCAATTGGAGATGGAGGTTCGAGATACGCGCATACATACGCTGCACTAAACATTATGGTATAGCTACACGCATGCATGCGATATTCGCTACGTAAGATACATTTATAAGGCTGCCTGTTTACGAGGAAACGAGTCGGATGCCGGCTCGATCGCCTTCGCAACAGCGCCCGAGTAAATATCGCACACGCGTGTAATATTTATCAAAAGAGTATAGAAAAAGTGAAGTAGCGAGCTCGCGTTAACGCGTTCATTATCAATGGCATTAGCGCAGTTTATTGGAACTCGAGATGTGTAAATGTATGTTTTCTCGATTAGCTCCAGCTCCGAGGCTCTCTCGCGCTTATCTGCGTAATTTACCAGATGTATTATATATAACCGACGAGCAGTTAAATATATATAGTACTGCTAACACAATTTCTTCTCGCAACACGGGCTGGCCTAGAAACTCGTATAAAAGCGCGAGCTCGCTTTATTGAAACGCACGCACGCATACAGGATGACGGATGGATATTGGCGCGCTTCGGCAGGTGTCCGACGACGATCATCGAGCAACGCCTTCGCATCGAGCGGTGCGCAGGGGGTGTTGCAAGGGTGCGAACTATCGCAGCATCCATTCGTTGAAATCACTCTACAACCCTTCGTATATAGGTCTTGTGCCCCCTCCCCGTGCGACGTATACAAAGGTATACCTATAGGCGTGGGACGAGCACCTGCAGCAAGGCGAAACTCTCGGCCTCCGAGATGCGCGCGCGTATACATCGGTCAGGCAGCATCAACAGGTAGCAGTCGAAGCTTACGGAGCGTGGCATACAGCTGGCCTAGGCCAGATACGCGTGCGAAATAAAATAGCCAGGCTCCGAAAAATCGTCGATCGCATTACGGGCTCGAGTGCAGCATAAATAGCACCGAGCCTATTCGTACATATAAAAGCTCGTTACGCGTACCTTTCGAGCATTGTACGCTTTTCTCCTGTCTCTCTCTTCTTATGTACGAGCCGTAGGTATCATTTGGCAGAGTTTCTGGCGCCCAAATCCCTTTTGCGCTTCGCTCGTGTCCAACGTACACACGCGTACAGACTCACACGTGCACGTATAAAAACGTTTGTACGGATATTTGTGTGTGTGTGCGCGCGAGAGACGTATATAAGCAACGGCGCCCGACGCAGCGCGACGCGGCGCCAAGCTGCCGCGACTTCCAGTCCTCTCTCGCTCTCTCATGCCTCTCTCGCTTCGGTACACATATATATATAGCGCAATGCTCCGTAGCACGAGTATTACATATCTATATATCTCGTAGTAGTAGAGTCCGCAGCAGCGGCAGAGATCGAGCGAGAATCAGAAAAGACCGAGTTATATTATGGTATACAGCCTCACTTGCACACACACACACGCGCGCGCGCGTACGAGTGCAACTAATGCAGTATATATCCTACAAAAGTTTATACACGAAAGCACGTCGTACGCGCGTACGAGGAAAGGTGCTTATACAGCACGCTCCGTAATACAGAGTTTCTTCTTTTAAACTTTTCTCTGTTTCTCGTTTCGCCCACTTCCGTTGAGCGGCTGTATAAGTCTTGCAGCCCCGCCGCAGCTAACCGCCAGCTTTTTTTTCTTTCTTTCTCTCTCTCTCTCTCTCTCTCTCTCTCTCTCTTTCGTTTTACGATACAAATATAATAAGAGACGCGTCGAGTCTTGCTGCAGTAAACAGTAGCGCTGTAGAAAATAGTCATATTTATCTCTCTCTCTCTCTCTTCCCCATTCATAATACGTACAAAGCAGTCATTGCACGCAAACACGCACTTGCACATATATAGATATTTACATACGCTCGCGCATAATGCATACTTTTGACGCTGTTTATATATGAAAAGAAGAAAAAATTAACTCTGCAACGAGTCTGGCGCCCGTACACGAGTATATTTATTATTCACATATATCAATAGCGCGCAACTTGTCTCCTCGCTCGTCTATTTATTACAGCTTAACCGCACGCGGCGTGCCAAGTACAATCCGCGTACGGATCGACCATGAGTGGCACGAACAACTAATTGGAAAACTATTACGATCGCGTCTATTAATAGGCCCGGAAGGATGCGCGACGCGAGAGCGACTTCTTCGCCTCCCCGAGGTCCCTCACGTCCAAGACATACGATAGTCATGTGCCTCAGGCATGCGAGTCCATCAGTCAACTGTATTACATACAAGTGTGTAATA